TGCAGCATGTACTGGCGCGCGTGACACGCTGCTGCTCTCAGTATAGTCGTGTTCCCTAACGTGGCGCACTTCGAAGCTTACCCAACTTACCTCGTGTAGTGTTGCCAAACCTCTTTGTTGATAAACCTCAAATTCATGCAGTGAAAATACTGGTACTTTTACCTTTTTAATGCTTGCTATTTTAACCTCTGTGAACAATTTCGGTTTCATAAAATTTAATCCGAAATGCAAAAACGGTCGCGTCCGGAAATTGGGCACAAAGTGGCGGAGTGTTCTCTATCGCGTGGCGCGCTTGAATAAATCTCAGAAAATTCCAAATTAACATTTAAGAATTTCTGTAAACTTGATAAATTCTGATAAATCATTATTATCTCTACTTACATACCCAGCCAGATGTTTGTCAGAAAATTATTTTCTTATTTTTCGGGGCATTTTCAAAGGGTTCACTTTGCACTTGAATATAAAATCGGAAAATCACGCCAAAATAATTTTTTCTTTTAACTTTGTAACGGGTAAATAAACTCGCGATTTATGAACGGGAGTGTTTAGAACTTGATGAAATTTCACTTTCTGTGAAATTTCAGTTAAAACTTTTGCTCTAGCTAGGCGCTACAGGATACCCTTAGTGCGCCACGTTAGGGGCCGCGCCACGTTAGGGTACATCAACAATATATACTGCATAGGGACACATTTACCAGGGGGACACTTTCACCGTTGGGCAGGGGGACAATTTTACCAGGAGGGGGACAAATCTACCTAGGTAAAAGTGTCCCCCCCGGACACATTTACCGGGTCACAAGCCGGTAAATGTGTCCGGGGGGACACATTTACCAGGGGGCGAGAATTACCTGTCACACCGGGAAGTGAATACGCGGATACGGGGATACGGGGTGGACTTTAGCGGAGGAAAATATTTTTAAAAACGAGGCATCCATACCCATGTTGGAAAATAACGAAGGCAGAGACAACGTGAGTTGAATGGGGAGCAGGGGAAAATGTATAAGTCCAAAGTAGGTGCCGGGAAGTGGATACGCGGATACGGAGAGACGGGGTGGCGTACGCGTGTGGTTTTGGTTGAGCATCCAAGCGTGACTCCGTATCCGCGTATCCATTGGTTGAGCATCCAAGCGTGACTCCGTATCCGCGTATCCGGATACGAGGTGGGATAGGTGAGTGCCGCGTATCCGGATACGAGGTGGGATAGGTGAGTGGCGGGGTATTCTGCAATTGTGCCCAGCAGAGCTGATTCAATGACTTCAAACTCGAAAATGATGAAAAACGGTGATCTTAAAAACAAAATGGGAAAGTGGTCAGAAATTGCCTCAGATCGCATCACAGAGCATCTAGAATCCATTGTTTCCCAGGGGGCCTAAAGCACATAGGCCTATGTACACACATTATGCAACTTTGTCGTGCGACATTCGTGGCACGTTTTTATGCACAAATCAATGAGTGCTTTTACATTTATGCGACAAAGTTGTGCAACATTTTGTTCACAGAAGTTTTTAAAAATCAAATTCCAAGTGATTTTATTGCGTAACACAAAATGTCACATGTATTCAATTCACCTGAAACCTGTAGCTAAACTGTTTTTCCTTGCGAGCAAATTATCAAAAATGGTGCACCATATCACGTACTTGTGGATACGTGCGTCTGCGACATTGCATGCCGCAGACAAGCGTCTATACATACTTATCCTCCCTTTTATCTAAATTGCAACTTGTTCCTAAACTAAAATACTGAAATCAAGGGTAAAACATACTTTGAATAGAGGTACAATTTGGAACGTTTTTGGTACTACTTTGTCTAGTACAAATTGATGTCAGGTCTAGGTTGAGTTTACCCCGTGGCAACTCAGTTTCACATGCCACTTTCCACTATGAAATGACAATAGAGCCAGAAAGTACTTGTAAAGGGTCATGCGGCAGGCTTCCGGAACTCTTGCGCCTGCCCGCCTATGGGCATTTTACACTATGTTGCCCCTTCTCTTTCTATACTTGTTAGCAGAATGATTTCTAACCGTACCCACCCAAAGAGACACTCATGTTGGGATATTATCTTAGTATTCTTCAAGCAAATTGAGGGGAAAACTCACAGGTGAGTTTTCCCCTCAATTTGCAGGTCTGCAGATGGGTTAAAACGAATTTCATTTAATATGATCTTTCACATCTGGCACTGTCGTTCCTAGGTCTCCTTGCTCTGTGCACGTTTGTTTTCACATCATCGGCTCGCATGAGAAAGAAAATGTACAAAGTTGCCAAGATTTAGCTACCTACAGCATGGGTTCTAGATTTAGTGGGGTTGGCTTGAGCAGATCATGGGTTGGTTGGTTAGTTGCATTTCCACCATGACTGACAGCTCGCAACCTCTGTGATGACATGCCACTGGTTCCGGTCTTGTACAATAGGCCATCAGCCTGGGGGTTTGGTCAGTATCAAATCAGGGCATAAATGATTATAGTGGGCATGCGCAAGGTACACCGCCCCTAGAGTGGTAACAAGCATTTTGATGGACAATTTGAAAAAAAAGGGGTGAAACACCCCAAAAGCTGCCACTGTTGCATTGCTATCACATATTTTCCAACTCTGGAGATGAAAACCTTGCCAAAAATCGCTATGACGATAATTCCCCTCATTTGATACCGGTGGCCAAAATTTTGGACTGAGGCTGATGGTCTACAAGCTTGTACACCTCTGATGGGGGGAGTTCAGTCAAGGCTTGAATTATGTCTATCCATCTTGCTTTTGGACGTCCAGGTTTGCGGGAGCCTTCGATTGTGCCTTGAAGTATGACTTTTTTTCAGGCAATCCTTTTAATGCCTGAGTGCTTGGCAATATGACCGAAGTAGCAGAGTGTTTGGCGGTTGATACAGCCAAGTAGCTGTCTCTTGCAAAACACTGGCATTGGCTCTTTTCTTGATCCAGGCTAAGGGTATCCTTAGCATTCTTTGCCAGCATTTGGTGAGGGACCAGGATTAGCAGGCATAGGCTGCAATTGGGAACACAAGTGCCCGCACTCGTTGTGTCTTATAGTAGCATGGTGACGTCCTTTTCTGCCCAGCTTATTGACAGCTTGGTCAGTACAGATCTTGCCAATGCAGTATGGCGCCTTATTTTGTCCTTGCATCCACCTTCCACAGTAATTAGCGAACCAAGGAAGTTAAATTGGGTGGTTCTCTCAACTCCTTGCCATGGACCCTGAGGGAAGCTGTAGATTCCTCCTCACCAATAATCATGATCTTGGTTTTGGCTACATTCAGACGTAGGCCCCGGGTTTCACTTTCAAGTTTCACTCTCTCCAATAACTCCTCCAATTCTTCCAAACTTGTTGCAAGAAGGGTGGTATCATCTGCATACCGCAAGTTGCTAAGTCGCCAGCCTCCAATTGAAGACCGCCCTCTCATCCATCAAGGGCGAGCCGCATGATATACTCTGCATACAGGTTGAAGAGAGTAGGGGCGAGACTGCAACCTTGTCTTACTCCTTGTACAAAACAAAACCAATCACTGTCTCCTTTGTCGATGCGGACACAGGCGAGTTGACCATCATATAAATTCCTAACCAATTGGATCGGATGACCTGGAACTCCAGGTGCCTTCAGAGCTTTCCATATAAAAGCACCATGTCTGATGCAATCAAAAGCTTTAGTCCATGAAACAAAGATATACCCTCCTCCTGTATTCTTTGCATTTTTCAACGATCTGTCTGTTGTTAGTGATTTGATCCCTGGTGCCACAGCCTCTACGAAATCCCGCTTGTTCTGGGGGAAGCTCTCTTTCTACATGAGACCTCAGCCTTGCATTTAGGATGTGCAGCAAATTTTACTTGATGGGGAATTAGAGCTATCGTTCTGTTGTTTTTACAGTGACTGATGTCGCCTTTTTGGGGGGAGGGCGAGGAAGATGGACTTTTTCCAGTCCACTGCCAAGATAATGGGTACAACCCTATGAACGGTCATTTCAGATTTTATATATTTTTTTCTTTCTTAAATCCTGAATCCTCTAAGTTTATTCACACAACCTGAAAACCTTAAAAGACATCTTGTTACTAGCAGATCTCCACTGGCTTCCAGTATCATACAGAATTAAATACAAACTTGGCCTATTCGTGTTCAAAATCCTCCACAACAATGCGCCGGAGTATCTCATCGACCTCATCCACCCGTACTCAACAGCACGCACCGGACTCCGCTCCAGTGAGCTCATGATGCTTCACGAGCCCAGGACCTCCACTCTATGGGGTGACAGATCCTTTACTGCAGCGTCAACCCGAGTGTGGAACCAACTCCCTCTGGCTATCAAATCATCTCCATTCATCACAACATTTAAGACAAACATAAATCTCACCTGTACAAACAAGCTTACTCTCACAACACACAATCCTAACTTGACTTTCTCCTCGAGCGCCATGAGCGCCTATTTTTGGCGGATACCGGCGCTTTACAAATGTTCTTTTATTATTATTATTCTATTACGCTTCCAGATTTCACTTTTAAGTTTTCACCTAATGACCACCACAAATTCCAGAAATTCTCATTTACGTACACTGACTTACATGTAAGGGTGTGCATCCGTAAGTTGCATTAATAGTCAACATGAATTTTAGATTTTTGGACGTTGAAGGTCAGTTTTTGGCACGGTATTTCTCTTTCGAGTTGGGTGATTTATCATTTTCCATAAATTATATACTAGTAACAATTTTGCAAAGACCTTTTTCTAGGGTGGTTCTCTTAAGAAGTCAATGAACTAAAAGAATTGCAAAATCTAGAAGTTTTACACATTAATTTTCTTATTCAAGGATCCCAGAAGCGCGCTACCAGGGGTCAACTTTCAGGTTCCATATGCCAGATTTTGTAGTTAACACCATATACAGTGTATTTCTATCCAGGCTTTAACAATTCAATATGTTTTGCAAACAATCCTGTGGCCTTAAGTGTGTGAAACTAGTTGAGAAAAAAATCCCAGCTTCAAAAGAATACATATGATATTACAGACATGGTTATTTTTTTTTCACACAAATTGTTTATTCAGAGTAAAAAGTTTAGGCTTTATAAATACAAGTGAGGATCCAATAAAACAATATTGTTGTGAAAAATGTATTTACAATTGAAGTACACTCTATACAGCAACTTGCAAGGTTTTCATTCCAGTTATTCAAACCTTAAAATTTGGACGGATTTTGTTTCTCTTTAATTTTTTTTTCTTTTTACAGAATTTTTCTAGAATTTTTGACATCTACATGAAGGCACTTGTATGTACATTGTATATTTTTCATGGAATAATTTTCTTTCCTGAGTTTCGTTGCATTATAAATATTGTACCGGTACCTAAACCTCTGATTACATAATCTTGTAGAAAGAGTTCTATTCATGGGCATCTTTACTAATTTTCCCTGTAGTGACCTATCAGCCATCAGAATGCGATTCGTCATGAAAAGTCAACTTTTTGGCAGGACAAATATTGAAGCATTTACTGAGCAAACACTTGGGATTTTTCAGACCAGTCTCATAGGGTTGTGCACAGGGTGTCAAGTGATGTACAAGTAAAGAATTCTTTCCAAGCTTGTTCACATAAACAAAATAATGTGTGACTTCTATGCCCTGTCAGATGATACATATCCATTGTTACTTTGTTGGACTTCAAAACCTTTAACAATTCTTTAAAGTTAATAAACACAGAACTGGCATTCGGTTGCAAAGGTAAACTCTGTTAATCTGTTGAGAAATCCTTGTTAAGTTTGATCAAATTATAATTGTTCATTAAATTTCTTTCAAAACACAAAACGGGTTTTTAAGGCAAATTTGTTATATCAGCAACTTTGTTTTGCTCGCTTTTTGGGGCGGGGGAGGAGGCACCATATTCCCATCTAGTCCATTAAATGATTAATTCACGATTTTGTTATTGATCTAAGTTTACATATTCTTTTTCATTTAAAACTTTCGAAATAAAAAAAACAGAAAAATATCTAAAATCCTAAAAAATGTTCAAATGTGTCCCTGAATTTGTCTGAAAATCTGGTCCGCAAAAATAAACTGAAGATATCACAATTCGGGCGATTCACAATGCAGTGCGCCACTAAGAGTTTGCCACGGAGAGTCCATTTTTCAAGTTTACGGTGGACAAAACATGGCCCTTTTGAATGAGTGTCGGTAGACAACTTGAGCTAACATGTCATAGATGGGCATAGTGTTCTGCCGCCTAACAAAAAAACCACCATATTGATAACAAGAAAAGAAATGGGCAAACAGATCCTCGAATCATACGCTTACGAAACCACTGACCGGAAAAACTAACAATTTCAAATGTCCCGCACTGCAAATTTGTCGACCATCTCCCACAATGCACTGGGAAAAATGAACTCTCTGTGGCAAACTCTTGGTGGCGCACTGCATTGTTATTGCCCGAATTCACAATTAGATCGCAAGTCATCCTGTCTCAAGTCACAAGCTATTAAAAAACAAACTGTGACCAAAGTATCTCCTTGTCAGTACTTCTTGTGACCCGACTTGCGATTTGACTTGTGATCTCAGTTAAGTTTGACTGAATTAACAGATCTAAAGTCTCCCCCATCCCATCTCCACAATCTGCTCTAGAGGAAAAAAAAGAAGAAAAGAAACGATGTGCGTGCAAGGCCCCAGCGCCAAATGTATGTACGTATCACCTGAAGTTTTCCTCTCTGACAAAAGACTGTCCCGGGATGAAGTATTTCTGGGCCGACTTGAGCGTCAGCAGGATGGGCTGGTGTAGCTGCTCGTAAGCGTCGATGGGGCTGGGGAATGGGTTCATGTACAGGGTCTTCATGGGAAGGTCGATCTTGGTGGTGAAGTTGTACAGACCATCCACGTCGAAGCGTCTTGCCGAGGCGATGGGCGGAAGACGCAGATCTGAAATGAGGGATGAAAAATGCTTGAAAGTCACCGACTCCTGCTAAGATTGCATCATTTTGTTTGGAAAAACCTCAGAAGTCCAGATGCAGCAAAGGGGAAACTTTAAAGACACATAGCATCAATTGCATTTATCCCAAAAGTAACCTACTGAATTTTATTAAAAAACCTTCCTTGGATTAAAGATTGCATGTACATGTAGGTGTTTTTCAACCAACGATCAGTCAATTGACTGATTTTTGCAATAAAGAGTGCAACTGACGAAATTGTGTTTCGTGATCAAACGATTGTACATGGTTTCTCACTGTTTACTTGAAAAGTGTAACATCCTCTAAGCAAAAATTTCAATGGGTTTGGTTGGAACATTCTTCTTTGAATTTTGTGTGATGTTATTATTGGAAACCCAACTTGATTACCTTTGTACAATATTTGTGAACAGACCCGTTTCTCCACAGGAGCTATGTTATTTGTGCCTTATTTTGTTGTGTTGAGTCACATTTACCATGTTTAGGATGCACCCGAATCAGCTGTCTATAGAGCTAGGTCTAGGTCTGCGCCCACTGCAAATACGCGGGAACACGCTCGCAACAGACGTAGCCGTAGCTCTGGAAGCCCCTTTCGGACACGGCCTATCTTCAGTCTGATTCCCTAATGAGGCCTGCTATGGGCCATATTTTTCAGTGAGTGAGGGCATTAAATGATGCCGTTTGCTGGTTTTAGACAGTAGAAATATTGCATCAACTGAACTTCTAAACTTTACCTCAATCTAAAAAAAAGTAATTGAGGAGTCTAGTTGCATCCATCACAAGCCCCTACAAGTCCATCACAAGTCCTCCAGCCCCAACTCAACTCACAAGCTATTCAAATCAGCTTTGACAAAGGCATTTCTTTGTTACTGTTCATCTAGTGTTTCTTGTCACTGGACTTATGATTTACTTGTGACTGGACTTGTGATTTACTTGTGATTGGACTTGTGAAGAACTCCACTATGTCCCTGGTGTCATTTTTCAACTTTAAATACAGCAACATGAAAACTGTACCCCGAATCACTATGACACTCTCGTTTGCTTAAAAAATATGGCCCATTGCAACAACTCATCAGCGAAGGGGACATTGTACTAGGAATGAACCTACCAGCCTCATACGTTGTCTCCCTGTGTGGCCGGCAATGACTGGTGTGGGTCTCTCCCAGACGAACAAGGCTTGGCTTACTGCAAGGACAAAATTCAGAACAAACAGGCAAAATTATTGCAGGGATGTTTATGTATGTATGCTGTTTGGTTTAAGATGGTTATGTTGAAGTTGCTTTCCACATGCTCTTCAACAAATTCAATTTTTTTTTCTGTTAATACGTTTTCAACTTGTATGTTTTCTTCCAACCCAAAGGCCTCCTTTGTTTTGTTGGACAGCTGCATCTCTCTGAAAAAAATGTTTTTGGTTTAGGCACAAACACAGTAGACTGGTTCCGGGTCCGTACATTATTGACACCGATTGTGAGGCAGGAACCAGCGTACCCCCGAGAATGAAATTATCGTCCGGAAGCAAATAATTTGAAGTTGTAAAGTGAAAATTAAATAACATGGGCCAATTTTGTTTCACTTGATGTCTCATTCAACTGCTAGAAAAATAGCAATTAAGAAAAGGAATCCATATTTTGGAATGAAACTAAAAAAAAAAAAAAACATGGAGAATGCAATTTTAATCCAAGGAAAGTGTTTTCCGGCTACATTCAGGTATCCAGCCAAGTTGCGCAGATCAGTGGAAAGTTGAAAATATACCAATTTTAACCAGTGGCCAAAAACTGACCCATGCATGCCCAAAGAAAGGGCAACAACTGACCATGTAAGCCAATTGTGACTTTGCAGGTAAAAATTCCTGAAACAGTCATGTTTCAAAATGGCAACGGGGAAAAATTGAGGATAAAAGTGACAATGGATTTTGGCCACACAGCTGATGATAGATGATACAGTTGAGCCAAGTTGAAAATCTATCACACATATGAAGGCCTGTTCTTGAGGCCTGTTAAAACGTTTCTCTGAAAGAGAAACATTTTTATGAGCATTCTACATTCAGAAGATAGCAGGTCTTTCCCTCCGTGCCTATGAAAAACACATACTAATTACACAGTTTTTTTAATAATAATTATAACAATGATGGGTACTCGTATAGTGCTTTTAACTAAGATCAAAGCGCTTTACATTATTATTACCCCTGATCATTGGGCCAATTAAACATTCCAAATACCATCTCAGCTCCTTGGGGAGTATACAGCTCGATGCTGCCTATTAGGTGCAAGGAAGCTAATTCAATTACATTAACCATCTCTGCCCTCACGGGTACCCATTTACTCCTGGGTGGAGAGAAGCAATGAGTGACAAAGTGCCTTGCCTAAGGGCACACACACCATAGCCCCAGGATGGACCCCAACCCACAACCTGCAGAATTACCCACAGGCCACAGGTTTAATGCTCCAGACCATGAGGCCATGACACTTTTTTCTGCAACAAAAGGGACTTTATGAACGCGGAAGGGGTTATTTTCAATTCAATCACATACGAGTGAATTTACCTTTTTCTGACTCTGGAACAGAATGCATGGCAAAATGAAAAGGGATAAAAAAAAATATAACAGACGGAAGTTAATAACGGTTAGCAATAATTCTCTCTTCTTGTATGCAATTACAGTAAGAGGAAAACATTACCAGTATTGAGTTTTTCAAAGAGCAAATCACAACCTCCATCCCTTCTCAAGATTTTTTTGTGAGAATCTGGACAGAGTAATGCCCAAAAGAAGTTGAAGGCAAATTTATACTCTTCCTGGCCAGTGTAGGCCTACATGTAAAAAACTATTGTCAGATGCGAAACAAGACACAAATGCGAAATAAACAAAACAACAAATGCTTGATGATTATTAAAACTGGCAGAAACACCCCTCCCCCTTCCAATTTTTACTTGCTTTAAAGGGAATGTACATCATTGGTTTTTGCTGTAAATTTCAGAAATGAACTATTTGAGGGGTTAGTATAATAGGTCAAATATTGTTACACTGACATGTTTGAAGTTTTGTGTTCTAAAATGCTGGAATAACCAAGCAAAACAAAATTGTTCAAGAAGTCTGGTTCCCTGACTCCACTAAAGATAAAATGGATCAATTTATAGATGCCGGAAAATTGTAAGGTAAGGGAACCAGTTTAGCTGGCCTGCACCCATTCACGAACATGTAACTAATAGCAACCACAAATTTGGACTGAAAAAAAGAGGTAAATTTGGAGCAGTAGTTGAAAAATAGTTAGGTTTTTCCAACGGTGGTCGGCCGACCACCGTTGGAAATGTATACAAAAATACAATTTTCTTGAAAGTGACTTCATACCAGGTGCCATAACTTTACAGGATGCTTAAAGCTATAGTCCATCATTTGCAGCCATCCGAAAAGTAACTGGCGTAATTATTGTTGAAAAACAAACTTGGTTGAAAGATATTCAGGGGACTAAACTCCCTGTGAAATTATTCTTTCTGGGAACTGTCACTTTGAAGTAATCAACGAAAGAAGGCATTTCCAACGGTGATTCTTAAGAAGCACCGTAGGAAAATTTAAATTAGTAGTTCGTTTTGTTATTCAGCGCAGCGCGCACAAGTATTGGAACGACGCACACGCGCGCGCGGTTGTTATAATTCGTCGGATCAGTGCGCGACGTCGCATATAGCTGCAATTCAAAACAATTCAAAACATGATTCAGTAACTTTTGATTTGAAATTGAGATCTTAGAATGCTGTTTTTCTCGGAATATACAGCTGAAGCTGAGCTGAAACTTCATCAGGTTAGTTGTTCAGTATCTTTCATTAGATTTTGAACACGTTTGTTGCTTCAAACGAACAAAATGCACTAATTACAAATGATGGACTATAGCTTTAAGACTGTCATTTACCAACATCCTAGTAAGGTATTTCGTAACAACCTTGTAGTTTTATTTTTCGATGTTTGCAAATGTTGTATATTCCCTTTAAAGCGCCATTTTTATATATAAAAAAAGAAAAAGATTTCTGAAGTAACATTTTCCCTAAGTTTCAGATTACCTCTCTGGTGTTCGTCTTTTCTTCTTCATCCTAAGTCAGCAGATATTTAATCAATAAATCAATAAATAATTAATTTAAAAAGTATCAAAATTACAAAATCTGTATATCAGTAACTGTTACATATTGTTAAACAATGATAATAAAGTATATTGTGAAACGATAACTTTCACAGTATGCAAAAGCTGTTTGACATATAACTATACAAATCTGGAAAGAAAAATTACCAGTCTCTTTCTACAATAGACTGATTTTGTTTTACAATAAAATTGGTTTCCAGTGATAAAACTTCTACAAGACTCTTATATTAATTTCAAAATAACATTTTTGTCTTCCAGATGTCGGGTTTTGTTTGTTTATAGCTTGTTACAAATGCTAAATAAATTACTTTAGATGAAATTTTTAACTTCTGAAATTAGCTGACTTTAAAATGAGTGAGAAATATGGCTGTATTAATTCTATACCTCTGCAATTCATCCCAAAGCTCGCTGAAATTGAAAGCAAGATAAGAAAGGAAATTTGAAACAAAAATAAAATAAAATAGATGTGGGTCAATGTTGGGAAAATGATTACCACCAATTTTTTTTTAGATAATAAGTTAAATTAAAATGGGCACAAATGCTACATGAAAAAAAGGATGGCTTATAATGTGATGATTATCTGAAAACTTAACGGACTGCATAAGTCTATGGAAGATAATTGCCTACATCAAAATACAAAAATGTAATTTGTGATTAATTTGATATTCAAGATAAGTGACATGTAATGTGAATTCTCGTTCAGATCATTGAGATGTAAATTACCTTGGTGTCTTGTGCTCCCCTGACAAGCTTGTTTGGGGAAAACAGTAAAATATTCGTAATCAAACATTTGCATATCTGTGCAAATAAACACGGTGAGTGCCAAGGCAGCTTTAGACAACACGTAGTAAGCACACGTGCATAGCAGACAAGACCAGATTCGAAACGAAGAGTTGAAAAAAGTAGTCTTAAAGTCCACAACATTTTAGAACTCTTAAGGATCTAATTCAGAAGGCTCAAATCAAGTTCTGACTTGAGTCCTGGGGCCGATTTCACGAAACTGGTCTTTTATGACTCATCTTAGGACTTGAGTCCGGCTCTAAGATCGATCTTAGCTAAGATGCGTCCCAAGATCAATTTCACTAAACCCATCCTACGCAAGATGCATCAAAACTATTGATTTGATGGCTGTTTCAGGATTGTTTTTATTTATTTATTTATTTATTGATTTCTTCTTTATACTGGGTGACCCATTCAGTCCTTTTGTCAGAAACTGATCTCCCGTGGGTCCCAGTAGGAGTAATAAAACAATAAAACATTATTTTAACATTAAAATGAAATAGATAAAATCATATACATGCGTGTCACCTACTTGACGAAACAGTTGTTGAAAAGAAACGCCCAAACCAACTTCCAGCGCGCCTGCATAGAACACAAACTTTCACCTGAAGAATTGCTCTACTCAATAAATTTTGCAATCAAGGTAGGTGTCTTCACAAGATATGTTGAAGTCATTCTTTCATCACTCTATTTCAAAAAGTCGACTAGGTGTTGGCGTATTTATAATTAAATTTTGTAAATAAGCTATTTTTATTGCAACTTTCCCATGTATTAGGAACCTTTTCAAATCTGTTTGTAAGGCAGTGTTCTTCCTCGAAACTATAACTCTAGGCTGACACTCGTCTTTGACGAGAAGACATTGCAATGATTTCCAGACGATATATAAATTAATGCACGCATTAATGAGATGACCCTCAGAGTCAGACCGATCTTATGACGAGTTCAGCTGCGTTGCTAAGGAAGTTAGGATGTGTTGAACGCTTCTTAAGTTTAGTGAAATCGATCCTAGGACGAGTTAATTAGAATCTTGAGTAACCCTTTTAAGTTGTGTTTCGTGAAATCTGCCCCAGCTGGCTTTCATGTAGACTTGATTCTGGATTCCTGAGTACCTTTTTTTTAATGCATGCTTTTCTTTAATGGTCTTGACCTTCAGCCTACAATTTGCAGGTCTGAAACATGAGTCTGAATGTGAGCCTCAGACCGTTTCTATGACTTGAAAAAAGTAGGCTGGAGTCAAGTCTGATATTTAGACTAAATTCTGTTCTTGGCTCGTGTACTTCAAGTGTACTGTTTTTGCTTTATTGCTAAGGATCAGATCGGACCTTGACCTTGACTGAAACAAGTCAGCTGAGTATTTTGTTGCCTGTTGGATGTCGACAGACTATCGCACATCAAATAAAACAGAACAAATCCATGTTAACCAAACAAACAATTCATACATATCAGTATGTTATCACAATCGACTGTTTCTTGCACATATTCTACATATTTGCAGACACAGGCAAGTGAAAGACTAGTCTTAGCCAAAGACGTCGGCGATTGATAGCAATGGCTGCATTGTTGTAGAGCGCCCTTGCACAACTGTTTTTTTTTTTAACTTTCTTGCACTAACGTCTTGGGAATCTTGCAGTAAGGGGGGGGGGGCCTAGCCATTTTATGTAAGTTTGACCATTGGTGTATTAATATTAATATCTTCGAACAAAACAGCGGCTTTTTGACACAGGAAGTCACTTGCGTGGGGCTACCACTGCGTTGCACATCTAATTAGCGATGCTTGCTCATGTCACTACACGTAGCGCGTATGTTTACAACCATCGCGCAAGCGCGTGCTAGTTTACAACTGTCACGCAAGCGCGTGCTAGTTTACAACTGTCGCGCAAGCGCGTGCGATGGACTATTAACCATTCCGCGATCGCGGATTGGTTCCCTAGGAAAGCCTAGGGAGAAAATCAAGAAAATGTTAAACAGCTACTACAGGATTCCCAAGACTTTAGTGTGAGCAGGTGCGCTGGTCTAATCATGCCGTTAGATATGCACGATCCACTGTCGATCACTAGCGTCTTGGGCCGAGACTAGTGAAAGACATGATCATACATGTATCTGAGCAAGTCGTTCAACAACAGGTGAGGCAAAAGCACAGCATAAAGCAGAAGTAGTTTTCTAAATCCAAAACTGGGTTAGTGACTTCAACATCTTTGATGTATAGTCAAATACTTTCAGGTGCACTTTCTGACATCACGGCACAGCCAAGAATCTCTCCAAGGTGTTTCAGACAAACTCAAGCACAGTGACCATGTATCAGCACTGAAAATGGTGCCCTTAAAACTTGAATGGTTTTAAATAATGTTGAATACCTTATCTTGGAATCCAAGAAAAAGCTGAAGGCATGACAAAGAATGAAAAAAAAAATAATTGTCAGCATTGAATATTCTTAAATCTGAAGATGTATTGAAAGGAAAGGCTTTGCTTGTTTGAAGTTGCCACAACAACAAATGTTTACAATTACAGGTTTCCAAAGTTTACACCCTAGCGTCAACATTTGAACTGATGATATAATTTGTATTGAGTTGTTTTTAAGTTCTCTGCAAGTTTGAGCTTATATATCTTCCTTTTTTATTTCAATTTGAATGCTTCAGTGTTTAAAAATAATTTCTTTTACAAACATTTGAATTGGAAGATAAGCAATTGCATTAGTATTGCCTAGCTTCAGATCAGGTTTTGAAAGAATTGCTCTGTACCTCACGAAAGTAATATGATTTTTGCCTCGTTTGACCCCAACCAGAGTTGTAATGACTCGAATCAATGACTCGACTGAGTCCGACTCGAGTCAAAATTTTCGGTGACTCGACTCGACTCAAGTCCCTATGGGTAAATGACTTGACTCGACTCGAGTCCTTCATCAAAAGACTCGACTCAACTCGAGCCAATGTTAATAAGACTCGAGTCCCAAAAATAAAAGCAAAATTTTGCGAAAAGTATTTGCAATGACTTACGGTGAGAGTTTTATGTTCATTTACAAACATACAACGTGTCAGACTCCCACGTCATGGTTCTGGAACGCACAAAATACTATTCAGGAACCGGATTTTAAACACATTTTCCAATTCGTTCTTTCATCATTGGCTTTGGGCGATTTCTTATAAAGCCTCTTGGATTCGAACGCCGGCTAAATTTATGCCCTCCTTTTATACATTTTGGTAAATAGTGTTAAAAAATTTGTGACTCGAATTGACACGAGCTTAATATTTGACTCGACTCGACCTTCTTGACCTAATGACTCGACTCAAGTCACTTCTTTAAAATGACTCGACTCGAGTCACTTCTTTAAAATGACTCGACTCGACTCGAGTCACAAAAATCAGTGACTCGTTACAACTCTGACCCCAACACACTGATATCAATGTCACTTTCTTGTCAGTTTTTATGTGACAGATGTACCTATAAGTTCTCCAAAACAAATGACTCAACCCTTCAGTCTTATAACAGAATCAAAATATCAAAATAGAACACTTGGATGCAAAAGCGATAATTTCCTTTTGATCTCTACAAAAAAAAGATGAAAAACTGATCAACTCTTAAATTGTAACATCTTGTTAGAAAGTATCCATAAATGTAAAGATTAGAAGCTTTGCACAATGACTTAATCAGCAACAGTGTCTTGAAATCAGAGGTCATTACAAAACCTATTTCACTTTCATCAGAAAAAAAAAACAGAAAGAAAATTTGACTGTTCACCTGCTGTCCAGGTCTCCTTCATCAGAGCTTTCTCTGAGCGATGAAAAAATGAAACTCAATTGATCAATTATTGAAATCACATTACAGTACAGTTAAATAGTCTACAAAGCACTAGCTTTTACACTTTTTTAATCTTAAAACACAATCAAAACAGATCACGTTTCAAAGTCACTTGAAAACTTAGCTCTGCAAATGAAACCACGACTCAAGATAAGTACACAGCAAATGGCCCAGCTACTGATTGGCAAGACAAAAAACTGAAACCTTTGTGCATACACTAAAATGTGCAATTATAAAACAGTGCAACAATTTCACTCACAAAAAAAGTTTAGCCAAGCACTTATTATGCACTGCAAAGCTACAAGTGTCTCTTCCTCTATTACAAAGCGGCCTCAGGTTGACCTTCGATATGTTTGCACTGCAACGGAACCATCGGCATCAAGCACAAACTGAAATCATGTGATTATCGTGGAACAAGCATCTCGACACAGAAAAATCGCAACCATGCTCATGTCACCCATGACACGTCGACGATTCCGTGGGGAGTCAGGTTGGCGTAGCGGTACTTTCCTCGCCTTCCACCACTGTGACCCGGGTTCGAATCCCCCCTGGGCCAATATGTGGATTGAGTTTTCAGTCCCTGCCTGATTCCGTGGGTTTTCCCCAGAATATTCTTCTGGGCTTTTCCTCCCACCTCTAAAACCGTAACTTCTTCTCGTTTTCTTCTCTCCACAGGTTTCTTCAGGCTTGCGAGCTACAGTGCCTAGGACGCTTTTGAGGAATCCTTGGTTTCATTACCAGAAATGATTAATAATAATGATAATAATAATGTGACTTCTTTAAAATTGCAGTCCGCGTGTTGATAACAATCAAACAATCTTCCACGGCCACGTCTGTTCATTCGGCCATTTTTGCCGCACGCTGATCGGCTACCCAATGACTTAAGATGATCTGGATGCGCGCACGATGTCTTAACTTCACACAGGTCGACTGCGATTGATTCTTGCCTGTAGAAACACGTTTTGTCACGGTGCAGAAGTTGAAATCTTTCTACTCCTATTCTACTTATAATTTTTTTTAGCGCTGAAAGATGCTGATCATCTTAATATCATCGCAGTTGCTCTCAGGTCACAAAAAACGGCAAATGATGTGTTCCCGATAGTTGTATCTCGTGAAAGTCATCTTGAAAAGTCAGTCGATCTGTGTCGTCGCAAGGTCAACCTGAGGGTGGCTTTAAGGCACAGTACAAAGCAATTGCAGATGTGGGAATTATCTCAGAATCATCTTTTTTTCATTTACATATCATGACAGCCATAAACACTGAATTATGCAGAAAGAGGACGACCTTCTTGAGGCTTTGGGACGGAGTTGTTGTCAAGTACATCATAAGGCACATCACAAGTCCAATGACTTTGTCACAGATCATTTGAACAGCTTATGCCTTTACTTGAGACTGGCAAACTTGTGATTGGCTTGTGATTGACTTGTGATTGACTTGTGATTGGCTTGCTATTGGCTTGCGATTGACTTGTGATTGGCTTGTGATTGGCTTGATATTGACTTGCGATTGACTTGCGATTGACTTGCGATTGACTTGCGATTGACTTGTGATTGACTAGTGATTGACTTGTGATTGACTTGTAATTGACTTGCGATTGGCTTGTGATTGACTTGTGATTGACTTGTAATTGACTTGTGATTGACTTGTGATTGACTTGTGATTGGCTTGTGATTGACTAGTGATTGACTTGTGATTGGCTTGTGATTGGCTTGCCATTGACTTGCCATTGAGTTGCGATTGAGTTGCGATTGACTTGCGATTGAGTTGAGCTTGACTTGGGATTGACTTGCGATTGACTTGCCATTGACTTGCCACTGACTTGCCATTGACTTGCCATTGACTTGCGATTGACTTGTGATTGACTTGTGATCGACTTGTGATTTACCTGTGACTGACTTGTGATTGACTTGTGATTGACTTATCTGCAACACTACTGTGAGTGCTTGACTATGGATGATCACGTTTTTTGGGGGTCAAGGTTCATGAACAGACACTAAGAATTATGACAATAACCGAGTATCCTGTTGCATGTAGAACTTGAGAGAAAAACCAATGAGTTATTTCTACCAAACGCTAGTATTCACAAAAACTGACAGACACAGCTCTTTGGAAGACTCTGAAACAAATCACAATTCATGTTCAGTGAATTAAATTAGGGAGTGTATCAAAACTCAAAATGCTGATATCAATTTTATTTATCAACTTTATTTTAGCATGGCAAGTTCCAAATGGGAAACAGCAGTGTTCCCAGGATACAGCCCAACTTGGAATCAGCACAGAGCAATTCAGTGTTCACATGCTATGGCAAACAAATGTGTGAGCTGTGTTCCGAACTCGACCAGCTAGTATTCTCGGTGGAAAGTTAAAAGCATTGTAAGTTTCGAGACACTTCCTAAGACCAAAAACTGCAATTGAACGTTAGTAATTGGTGCGGAACTCTTAGCACTACAGAAATACCTTCCGACTAACGACTGTGCAGATCCACTAAAGGAGGCAAGACATGAAACAAATAGCAGCTTTTACAACTACGAATGAACTACTGCGAAGTACTTAAGCACAGGGAATCGGCATCTTCAAGACAGCTTTGTAGTCAAGAAATATGATGTATTCCTTGACTTTTGATGGAAGCCTCATGGATGCCCCGACTAGATCTCTCCCCTGCTTCACCACTTTCTGCATCCTCTCCATGTACCCCACACAACCTCCCTCCTCAAGATACACATCCCTCCTCCTCCCTTCTGGACATACCCCTCCCACCACTTTGAACCCACCTTCTATCTAAGGTAGTATCAGTATCCTATTTCCTATCTTCTGGCACCTCTTTCTTGCTTGTTCCCTGGCTGCGGCAAGCCACATCTTCGACGCGCAATCCATCCAACATCCGTCCCCTCACATAACCCCATGCCTGGCCCTTGTACATGCCCCTCCAATCATCTTAAACCCACCTTCTCATCTTAGGCGGTACCAGCACCGTATTGTTCTTATCTTCCGGCACCTCTTTGCTCACTACTTCCCAGGCTTCAGCAAGCCTCGTCTTCTCCATGTAACCCACCCAACATCCCTCCCCACTCACACACCCCTCCCACCATCTTAAACCAACCTTGTTATCTTGGGCAGAACCAGTACCATATTCTTCCTATCTTCCGGCACCTCTTTGCTCACTACTTCCCAGGCTTCAGCAAGCCTCGTCTTCTCCATAACCCACCCAACATCCCTCCCCCATCACACGCCCCTCCCGCCATCTTAAACCCAAGTTCTTATCTTAGGCAGTACCAGCACTGTATTCTTCCTGTCGTCTGGCACCTCTTTGCCCGCTTGTTCCTCGGCTATGGCAAGCCTCATCTTCTCCACATAATCCATCCAACATCCCTCCCCCCTCACACGCCCCTCCCGCCATTTTAAACTCACCTTCTTATCTTAGGCAGTACCAGCACCGTGTTCTTCCTGTCTTCCGACACCTCTTTGCTCGCCTGTTCCCGGGCCGCGGCAAGCCTCATCTTCTCCATGTATCTCTCCAGCTCCATCTCCACAAAGTAGTTGATGCCCTCCATGGGCTGGGCATTCTCGATGGTGCTCAGGTCAGGGGGCATGTCAAAGGTCACTGCACAAATCAGACATTATAGGAACTGTTTGTCAGTATAATGGAATAGATGCCTATACAGCAAGCGTCTGTGATATGCATGCAGGTTACGCAAAACACTGCATCTCGACCATCTAGACCAGATTCGGACCATCAGTGGGCGCCTTCGGTAACCAAATGTCATATGACAAAAACATAACAGCTATTGACCAATCAACAACTTTGGGTGAATCTCTGCTCTAAACGATGTCACAACTTCTAAAGGTGGCTCTGATTGGCTGGTGGTGTGCGGTGTCGCATAAAATTTACATGCATGGATATATCAGACGTACATAGTGTGGCTCTGCACACGTGAACGTCTGATCCTTACACTAACTGTTTGAGTTGTTGGTGGCACAAAAAAAAAGGGGGTTTTTTTGGGCAAGAACCAAAGAGCCAGTGTGCTGCCCTCTGACTGACTGAGTCACTGACTGACTGACGGAGTATAAATCATGTCCTGAACTGAAACTTTTGGTCAAGCTCAACATTAGAGCATGTGCGGTCTAATGGTGGAGCATAGGATTCATGATCATGAGATTGTGGGTTCCAGCCCCGCCATAGCCATGCGTGTTGTGCCCTTGAGTAAGACGCTTTACCTGAATTACTCCTCTCAACCCAGGTGTTAAATGGGTACCGGCATTATTCAATGCTGGGAAGGTAACAGACTCGCTGTGGAGGAGGTGTGGCGATCCTCCCACAGCAGCATTTCATGGACTCGAGTCTGGCCCAATCGCTTCGAAAGAGAGTGGGCTCTCCGTTCCTGTGAACACAGGTTTGTCCCCTTTACCTTTTCTTTTTTGCCCAACACGGAGCAAGTTCAGGCACAAACTAAAGTTAACCAAAGTTTGACTAACTTCACTCGAATGGGGGACGGTTGGACTACTCTAGTCAACCAAGGCCAAAAAAAAATTAAAATAGTTCTGCTTCTGGTTTCCCTACCTACCCTATTCTGACAGCCACTACCCTAATTTTTTTTATGGGAAAAATGAGAAAAAAACACCCAAACCATCAATTTCTACCTTTTACCCTTGACAACACGCAGACGCCTCCATATGATTGTACACAAAAAATTGGCAAGAAAAAAATATTTCCTTACCTACCTACCCTATTTTCAAATGCCATGTAATCGGAAGCAGAAATATTTTTTTCTTTGGCCTAATTGGTACCGGACCACAGGGCACGGGCTTGTCTGGTTGACAATAGCCACGCACATCACAGTACACTACAGGGAGCCAGGACATTGTGTGAAAACGTTCTGACCAGCGTTTGACTAGAGGCTCTCGCACGTTGCTATTAGTGCGCAGGCGTAAGTTACCTCACAAATCAACCACTAGTCGACTAATGGTACTCGCCCGAACTTGTTCTTGGTAAGCCAAGTCTTGTTGTTTTTATTATTGGAAACCGTGAGTGTGATACCTGTTAACTGCTGGGACTGCATGAAGCTCTCGGTGACCGGTGAACCAGTGCTGACGTGGGAGAACTCCGATCGAGTCTCGGACTTTGAGGAAGTTGGCTTTGAGCCATCCCCCTAAAGAAAACAAAGATAGTGCAACAACAATTATAACATTAAAGCCACAGTCCATCATTTGCAGCTATCCCAAAAGTAACTGACGTAACTTATTGTAGAAAAATCTACTTGGTTGAAAGATAGTAAGGGAACTAAACTCCCTGTGAGATTATTCTTTCTGGCAAGCTGTCATTTTGAAGAAATCAACGAAAGAAGGCCTTTCCAGACGCATCATTGGAAATTTCCGTTAGTAATTTGTTTTTTTATTTGGCGAAGCCTGCACGAGCGTTGACACGACACACACCCATGGGGTTGCTATAATTCGTCGGCTCAGTGCGCAACATCGCGTAGCTGCATTCCGCTCAGTGAAAACGTGTCTCGGATGCTGAATTCAGGCCCAGTTCAAAACATGATTCAGCAACTTTTGATTTGAAATCGAGATCCTAGAATGTTGTTTTTGTTGAAATATACAGCTGAAGCTGAGCTGAAGCTTCATCAGGTTAGTTGTTCAGCACCCTTCTTCAGAATTTGAGCACTTTTGTTCCTTCAAACAAGCAAGATGCACAAACTACAAATGATTGACTTTACCTTTAAAAGCTGTTTTAGCAGTCTTAGAGAAAACTTGTTGTTTGTTTTATCTTTTAAAAAAAAGTACTATTTTTTTCCCTATTTTGCCATCCGGTTGAAGACAAAAGATTTAACGGATGGTGTTGGTGGTGGGGGGGGGGGGGGGTGGGGGGTGGGGGGGGGGAGGGGGTGTTTATGACCGTACCTGCTCACTCTTGGTCTTCAGTATCCCTTTCCCCTTGCTTGGTGACTCAGATGGAGGAGTAGCTCTGGTTGCTTGGCGACGCTGGATGTTGCCGGCTACTTTACCCTTCTTCAGCTGCTCAATCGTCTTGCGGAGGTGACTCTGAGGGAAGGATGCCAACAATGATTGATTACAATTTTGGCCCAGTTTGGCAACAAATTATCGAAAACCCATTGCTATTTATTTGACTGTTTTTATTTAATACATGTAAAGTGATAATGCGGGTACGTAGAATTTGTGAGTAAAATTCTAAAACCCGTTTTATTTGATTTGACAAATTTCGCTTGTACCAAGTTCCAATACGTAGAGTTTTTGGCCTTAAATTTGGAACCTTTTGGGAGCGATTCTTCAGAAATTGACCCTTAGGAAAATTTTTTTCGGGAAAAAAAACCACCTTTTTTATGTCATGTAATACAAATGACGATTATTCAATAAAGTGTTGCTATTAAGTAAAGATGCAAATTTCTTAGCATAAATTAGCATAATTTTAATTTAAAAATGTCACACAGGAGATCAATCAAAATGTCACACACGTGACCACAGAACAATTCCCATTTAGTCAAACTAAAGCAGAGGGTGTACATTGTTTATGCATTCTGTAAATCACAAAGGACTAGTCTTACTCCAAAATAAGTAAGGGTGTGTGTGTCCTTAGAACTTTGGAGAAAAGCGTGAATTTCCGATATGGGCCGGATAACATTTTTACCTCTGATGTCACACACATGACAATGAACCTTCCTAATATTTTGACACAAATTGTGAAAGTAGAAACTATACTCTGAGTTAGGGAGTAAAAAGTACTAACCTGATGAGTCAGTGAAAGTAAAATGTCAGATGTAAAGGGGTAAAGCTTCAAATATCAGACGAGCCCAATTTTATGTCACACCGCGACCAAAGGATGGCCCCTGGGTTTCTTGCTAACCTTGAATAGCGTGAGCCATTTGTCCAGCCAGCGCCTGGCCATGGCGTTCAGTTCCTTCTTACGATTCTCCTCATCTACGCTCCAGACATCCCAGCTGTCTAACTCCTTGAAGAAGTAATTGTGCATGTCCTGCAGGCCCAGGACCAGGAAGATATCGTGCACCAACTCCCTGTCACAACAAGACATTGTTCTCTGATATTAAAGAGGTTGTGGAATGCTCGAAGACATTTCCGTAATTTTTTGGGTATATGTAGCCTAAGGTGTGATGAAATAAAAACGATTATTGTTTCTGTCATAAAATGAGTACAAAAGGTACTTTTGAGAGCTGTTTTTCAAGTCCTGTCATGCCTGTTTCGACCCGAACGTGCAATTTGTGTAAAAGTCGTCGTTGCGGGCAGCAAACAAAACACAGTAAATCGTGACGTAATAAACAGGACTCCCGATGCAGAGTAGCATAAACGAGTCCTGTTTATTACGTCACGATTTACTGTGTTTTGTTTGCTGCCCGCAACGACGACTTTTACACAAATTGTACGTTCGGGTCGAAACAGGACCTGAAAAATAGCTCTCAAAAGTAACCTTTGTACTCATTTCATGACAGAAACAATAGTCGTTTTTATTTCATCACACCTTAGGCTACATATACCCCAAAAATGACGGAAATGTCTTCGAGCATTCCACAACCTCTTTAAAGATGGACTCCCCGTGCTGTGTTTTGAGTTTCATCATGAAAAACAGATTCTTCTTCTGAAACTGCTATTTTTCTAGCAATAAAAAAGTTATTCAATTTTGTACTGGAAAGCACTCAGAGAGCGCAAACCTCTGCCATGACTGAACAATTCCCTGCCATATTGTCAGTGCACCCAAATAGAAATACTCGCATATCCACTGGGCTTTCATACTTTATTGCACATTTAAACTGTTAAAGGGAAAATACAACATTTGCAAACATCAAAAATACGAAATGATCAAATTATCATGAAATATCCTACTTGATTGCTAGGGAATGACATTCTAAAGAACCCTGTAAATTCGAGGCTCCTGGTGTGCCGAAATTTTTAAGAACAATGGTATTTTTCCAACGCTGGTCGGCCAACCAGCGTTGGAGAAAACTGGCTTTGTCCAAAAACTGCTCGTAATTTTTCATAATTAGTTTTTCAGCATTTTCTTTGAAATTGATCGCCCACCTGTGAAGGGGTACAAGCCTGCTAGACTGATTCTCTGACTTTACAATTCCTCAAAGTTGACAAACTGCTCCGTTTTATCTGAAGTGGGTCGGGGAACCAGACTTCAAGAACATGATATTTTTCTTGGTTTTTCCAGCATCTTCAAGCCCAAAACGTGAAACAAGTCAGTTTAATAATATTTGCTAAAGCATTTTAATCCCCCAAGTCCATTTGCTACTGAAACTTGCAGCAAAATCAAATGTTGTACATTCCCTTAAACTGGATTGCTGTTATTCTGACATGACTGAAAAAAAAAAAAAACCAATGTTGGCCGCTTTATATCGTTAGTTATTCAGTAAAAACAAATCCTTTAAATCAAACATTTTGTAGTCTACACGTATGTGCCTGTGTTGGTCTACCTCTCCACTCCCCTATTGTATAACATGGTCTAGTCCATTGACCTGTGTGGTTAGATTAGGCATACAGGGTCACCGGGTCGATCAGCGCACGCACACAAAGCTGCTCAGTTGTACACATAGGTTCATGGTCTCTACACATACCATATTTGTACACAATGGTGAAGAATCCTTAAAAAATAATCTTTGATCCAAACCCAGATCCAGATCACTTCCAAAATCTTATCAATTTGTACGTCTACCAAGGACCCCCCTTCAAATTTTTTTCATGGAAATCTGTCTATAACTTCTTGAGTTATCTTTTTAACAAACCAACCAACAAAAACAAACCAACGCCAATGAAAACATAACCTCCTTGGGGGTAGCCTTGGTCAATGCTCTCGTCGTTATTCGTCCCGTACGCGGTCAATCGTCGGCATACATGTATATCCTCACGCGCTATGCACATGCATGTAAAAATACAGCGCGAACTGCGACCTCATGCGGCCACTATTTTTTTATGCAAATCAGTTGGGGACGATCGAGAGCCTTGGTTCAATCGTCGGCAAAAGCTTATGTTTTTCTTTATTTTGCGCTGGACCTCGTATGCGAATACAGATAAGTGTAGGCGGGGCTAATATGTGGAGTGTCCAATCACACCTTGGTAAATCCGGACGTCATCAAATTATTTGCAGCTATTCGCCTTTTGCGGACGTGACAGGAACCACAGTTTTTGTGCATTGGTGCCGTGTGCAGAGACACACAACGTGTACGTGTATGGATTATGTACGGTGCCACGTTTCACTATGCAAGTTTCCACGCAACAATCGACCAATAAGAAAACGACATTTTAAGGTCAGCTAAGGCTATTAACATAATGAGCAACACCCCAAAACCTCACATGGACGATTGAACCAAGGCTCTCGATCGTCCCCAACTGATTTGCATATAAAAATAGTGGCCGCGTGAGGTCGCTGATCGCGCTGTATTTTTACATGCATGTGCATAGCGCGTGAGGATATATGCCGACGATTGACCGCGTACGGGACGAACGACGAGAGCATTGACCAAGGCTACCTTGGGGGAGGTAATGAGATATTACTGAAATGAGGAAAATGAAAAAAGGATTACAACAGTGTTACGGACAACTCATCCACTGACACGGGAACCGACCTGACTTCTTTGTCGCCGTCCAAGAACTGGACGATGAGTTCCACTACCATCTCCGTGTCGGGGTTAGTCATGGCCTGCAGTGCCTTGAGGGACATCAGGATGAAGCCCTGGTGTGGACATGAAAGCATGGGAAATTAGAATTTTGTGGGGCTGCAAATCCCAAAACTCCGCTGGGGGGACAATTCCATCGTTACGGACGTTACATCCAGAGCCTTTTGACCAATTTGAAACAACAAAGTAAAACACTCGCAGTGAAAGCAAATTTCAAATATCCTGTACAACTCTAGCTTAGGTCTTTTGTACAACATGACATGTTTAATGTAGTGTTAGCTGAATTAATGAATTTGATATAAACATTGTAAGCGACCATTAGGGAGGTTCCCCATTCTGACATAGGTTTGACATGGGAGTGTGTGGCCTAATGGTTAGGGTTCGTGACTCATGATCAGAGGATCCGGGGTTCGAATCCAGCCGCTGGCCATATATTGTGTCCTTGGGCAAGGCACTTCACCCCCACTTGCCCCTCTCCACCCAGGAGTATTAATGGGTACCGGCATTAGTTGGGGAGTAATCCTGCGATGGACTGGCATCCCATCCAGGGGGAGTAGAAATATTCTCAGTCGTTTCATGCTACTGAAACCGGAGATAAACACCGGCCTGATGAGCCACATTGGATCGCGACAGACTTTACTTACAACTCTAGCTTAGGTCTTATGTACAACATGACATGTTTAATGTAGTGTTAGCTGAATTAATGAATTAAATATAAACACTGTAAGCGACCATTAGGGAGGTTCCCCATTCTGACATAGGTTTTGATATTCAGTACGCATTGACAAAAGTTTCTTGCAAGAATTTAATGAAATAACTCTGTTGTGGGTAAATTCTATAAAAACACCAATGATGTTTTACAAAAAGCTACTTTGACCTTACGGAAACATCATATTTTTGTTGTTAAGGACATTACATTATACCGTTACGGATGTTACATGTCTGAAATCAACTTACCACGCGATGAAAAATATACTGCATCATCGTATTCTAACTTCTGCGTATTATTTTTTTGTTACAAAATACGATCCTTTCTCTCTTCTTTTAAAACAAAACTCACATAACAATTTGGCATGTGAAAACAAGATGCCAAAAGGAGTACTTAATATCCATCAGTTTAACCCCCAAACCATTTTTTTTTTCTGGAAAAAAATACACTTAACTACATTCCATCTCACTGGCACACCACTCAAATAACGGTCTTGTTGTCTTTTATTTGATACCACATTTGAGGTTGTGATGCTTGTAGTTTTGAAGATTTCATAAATTTTCCATTTTTCAGCCCTGTCCACATTCTCATGGACTTGCACCTGTGGAGTGCTGTGGCCTCCTGGTTAAGGGCACTGATTTGTGGTAAAGCTGCAGGTTGTGGGTTCAAGTCCTGGCGGGGTCATGGTGCGTGTACCCTTGGGCAAGGCACTTTGTCACTCATTGCTTCTCTCCACCCAGGAGTAAATGGGTACCTATGAGGGCAGTGATGGTTATTGTGATTGAATTAGCTTCCTTGCGCCTAACAGGCTGCATCGAACTGTATACTCCCCAGGGAGCTGAGATGGTATATGGAATGTTTAATTGGCCCAATGATTAGGGGTAATAATAATGTCAAGCGCTTTGATCTTAGTTAAAAGCGCTATATAAGAACCTGTTATTATTATTATTATTATTATGGTAAACTCTTGGTGATGTACTGTATCATGAATCACTTGTAAAACCAAATGCGGCTGCATTCCAATTACTTTGCTACGGCTTCCAAATACACACGCGCCTATGGAAGCTGCTGAAGCCACTTCCCATTGACTCATGCGTTACCGCCGGTCCTAGCCAAATCATTCAGATGCGGCTTAGCACTGACCTTCTGATCCTCATCCTGGCAAGTCGGGGGGCTGCTCTTGTTCAGCACACCCATGACCGTGTCTATGACCACCTTGGTGTTGGCCAGGGAGTCCTGTTGATACAGCATGATGATGGCTTCTAAGATGGGCGTCTTCATGGCGTAGTCGGCGATCTTGAGGAGACGGAGCAGCATGGTCACGAAGGCTGTGACTGTCCAGGGTTTGGGGAATGTCTGGAAGCGAGGAAAATTTGCAATAATTAATGCGATGATTTGTTACATCAAGTTAGAGATATGAAGCTGTTTTTTAACCACTTCCCGCCAGAATTACTTTTGCCGAAAATTTTTGATTTTCACAAAAGGCAATATTTTCCGGCCAACTTCTGACATACAGCCAAAGGCCACAAATACTGATTCGCAAGAGTAATTTCAACAGTATTTGTACGATATTTCTTGCCGAAAACTCATATGTTTCAATACTCCGGGGTGTGCACTGGAGCGTAAATTGTACAATAGGCCGTACACAATGGCCAATTCAAGATCAACACACAGTCCACCTTCACAGACTTTGGGTGCATGTACAAAAGAAAATTTGTGCTGATCTTAAGCACTACGCCAAGGTGTGGCTGTGCATATGGTTGTGGGTCCACTTATTTGGAGGGAGAGAAAATCTTTTGCCCCTATCCAGAAAGTAACTGAAGAAAATATTGTTGAAAAGCTTACTTGGTTTATAGAGAGTTACAAATGGCACTAAATTATTCTTTCTGGTGTGCTGTCATTTTGAAGAAAACAATAAAAGAAGGCCATTTCCAAAGATGCGTCAAGTGACGCATTTGTGGAAATTTCTGTTAGTAGTTGGTTTGTAATTCGGCGAAATCCGAGAATGGGTGCGCGCAAGCGTTGACATGACACACACGTGCGCACGGTTGCTATTAGTCGTCAATTCAGTGCGTGACATTGCGTAGCTGCAATCCGCTGAATGAGAATGTGTCCTGGACGCTGATATCAGGTGCAATGTAAAACATAACTCTGCAACTTTTGAGTTGAAACCGAGATCCTAGAATTTTGTTTTCTCAAAATATACATCATTCACTGAGCTATGTAAAACTTTGTTAAGTTCCTGTCTTTAGATTTTGAGCACTTTTGTGGCTCCAAACGAAAAAAAATGCACAAATGACAAATGATCTACCCTACCTTTAAGCAAATGTTTCCTCCAAGGTTAATATATAACTTTTGCAAAAGTAAAATAAACGGATGTTGTTTATGTATTCTGAGAATATGATAAACTTGTCATTACGAGAATTTAGGAAAACATGAGCAATATAAGGTCATTTACCTTGTTGGTTGCATTAGGGAAGTACTCCTCAAACCATTCTGCTCCTTTGAACTGGGAGATAAACGACGGCAGGGGCGTGGGGGGCCTAGGGGGCGAGGGGGTAGGAGGTGGGGGAGGGCTAGGCGTGGCCGGTTTGGGTGTGACCACCTTCACCACTGGTTTAGGCAACTTCTGCACTTTGGGTCTTGGGGGTGGTTTGGGGGTCTCTTTGGGTGTCTCTGGCTTGGGTTCCGGGGTAGGGGTGTGGGGCGGGCTGGGAGTGGGTTCCTGATCGGGGATGTCCTTGGGCATTGGGGCGATGTCGATGTTGAATTTGTCCAGGAGGGATGCCTTAGGGGTGCCCGTGTCCTCTGGCTCCGGGGTCAGAATCGGTGTCTTTTCTTTATCCTGAATAAAAGGGGTTTTTTTTGGAGAAAAAGATGCAATGAAAGAGAGATATTACGATTCAGATGTTAATTCAGTTCGTCCTGCCTAATCATAAACACTGCTTTGAAATTTCAACCACACAACACTTGGTGTGACTGGTTTTGCACTCAAGCGTTTGTGATGTTGAAATAACAATGGCGATACCTGACAGGGTAGCATTTTGGCAGCTGATGTTTAAGGTTGAAGCCAGTAAATAGGCCTGAAATTTCCCACACCGGCCAAATCACGATTTGCATGTCCTTTTGCTATTAGAGCAGTGTTGGCCATGAACTTGATGGTTTGTAAAAAAGAAAGGTGGAAGTCGTGCACAGGACCGCGAGCTATTCTTGTCAAATGGAAATGAAATTGGGCCCTACAATTGCTCTATTTTGCAATGGAACACACATAGGCATCATTTTTCAAAATGGCGACGGGCTACATGACTACTTTTAGGGGTGATCACCTCTGGATGATATTTCTCCCAAAAGTCATAATTACCCCCCCCCCCCAAAAAAAAAAATTGAAAAGGAAATTAAAGATGATGAGATAGCTTTACTTTGATGTGTTTCTCAAACACCTTGGAAAGTCCTGAGTATTTTCCCTGATTTTTAGAAGTGGGAGCATTTAGCACTGGGGTCTATGGCAATTTATTTACTAGTCTGCAACCTTAAATAAATAAAAATGCCTTGATGAAAAAAAATGAAAAATGAAAACATGGCCGCATCGGAATATCTTTTCTAAATCTAATGTCTAGTTCTTTGCCCATTACAACTATAGGCACATGTGGACGATACACGTAGCTGTAAGCCTGTTTCGGACATGGCCCAAGCTGACAGCAATATGACTTGAAAAAACTGATGGAAGAGCAAAAGGAAAAAAAAAAACCACTATTTTTGAGCATGCTGTAAAATACAGTGTCATTTTTTGTATGGGTTTGACATTTCTAATACAGCGTGCCACGAAAACTGATACATGCATGCCGACTATTGATTTTTATTACGCTTCTTACTGTCTGCTAACTATTGGCTTCTTGCACAAGTACCCCCTCAACGGTAAGGTAGGGAGAGTTAGGGAGACTACTTGTCGTGAACGCATTGCTGATGACGCCCGACGCTCGCGCAAAGACCCTGTGGCTGTATGCACATTCAGAATATGTACTTCGCGTTATATCGCGCAAACCAGTGTGCACACCGTGTGCGCGTGGCACACGGTGTGCCCCGTCCACTGGGCTCTCAAAAGTGGTAAAAAAGCGCCCTCTCTTGTTTACGCACGGAGCCAATAGTAGAAAAATCTGTGCTAAAGATATATGAAGTTTACAGCTTAGCAAGAATCTCTGGCTTATGCTTTGAAGTATATGTTGCTAAAAAGGATTCTGTGCTAAGCACAATAATTTGTAAAAACAAAACAGCTGTCAGATCCAACTGACCCCAACAAAGTTCCTCAACCACTTTGGTATTTTTGGAAACGCTTGGCAACAATAGTAGCAAATGGAGATTTTGGTAATGCAAGTACATTTACCGGTGTTGGTTCTGGACTTGGTATAGGAAGCTCCTGTAGCATCATGTAAGCGTTTAAAGCAAGGTAACAACAAGGCAAAGAATTTGTGTAAAATGAACAGGCATTCTTTAAAACGTCTGCAACAGGTATATGTGACCCGGCATGGCAAAACCCGCACAAAACACCCGAGATTAACAGTGAGTTTTTGGTTTCATATGGAAGTGTCAATGTTCAGATTTGCATTGTGAAAAATCATGCTCAGGCAATGCAACTGGGAAGGGACTACTTAGATGAAGGATTTTCAAGGTTCACAAGATTTTATAGTTTTGTTCCCACAATTTTTAATGGCATAAGTGTAAAGTGAAAAAAAAATGGAAATCAACTGATCCAAGGAAAAGTTGCATGCCTGCATACTGTATAGTACAACTTTCCACACTTCAAAAAAAAAAATTTCAAAGTGGAAGAAACAATGACGTGTGTCGGAAATGTGAAATTGTTGAACAAAATTTTGAGACCGCACATCATTGTACTATGCACGCTTCAAATTATCTCTTTCTTTCAGGTAAATCTATATGTTTGACCTTCAATTTGTCAAATACACATGTAGGCTTAATACTACTGAAGCTCACTAAAAATCTTGTTTCTCAAAAGTGTGCAGAAATGTTGCTGTTATACAACTGCAAAAATAATATTTAACAACTTAACAAATTATGTTTCTAAACTTTTAAATCATTTTCATTGAAAGTATCTCAGTGACAATGAGAAATAATCCTGAATTTTTTTAGTTGACTTTTTTAAAAACCAAAGGGGGGGGGGGGGTGCCAACCCTTGGGTTCAAGGTCTAAAAGTTTTTGCAGGTTTGTTATGCCAGATCACATGATTCTAAATGTAGGCAAAGTACATTGCACTTGGTATTAGTAGCATCCTTCTGGAAAGCCTTGTTAATTAAACCTAATAATTGTTAATTAAAACGTGCATCAGAACTTTTTAAAATGCTAACAAGTGGTGCAAAAATTTTTTTAGTGAAATAGTATTCATCAGGAAACAGACAAGCAACAGTTTGGAGAAAATCTTGGGAAAGCAAGCGATTCTCTGACAAAGTTCTGCACAACAATTAATAAAAACAGGGAAAAAATGCACTTTTTGTCAGACAATTCAAAGTAATAAGTGAAAACGTTGATTCGTAAATCAACACTATAATGATCAATTCATCAAAATTGACAGCATAACTCAAAAAGTCACATCCCCAAAAAACCCCAAATAAATTGAGATCAAACAGTTATGGTGTAAGCAAAAAAAACCTGTTAAAAACTGTTTACAGACTCAAAACAATCTATAATTGTGAAACATTTTGGGATCTTTGGTGTAAAGCGCTATATAAGCACCAAACTATCATTATTATTATTCTAGATTTCAGAATTTCTGGATGACTTTCATATGGTGAAGTATGGCACAACAACATGCAAAACACATTCAACGTGAAGCAAGCAACATGCATTCAAAAATAAAATTAAAATCTGAATTCCGCTGAAATATACCTCCTCCTCATCGCTCCACACTATGACCCGCTGCAAGTAAAAAGGTCAAAGGTTAGGGGTCAGATTGGAATACCGCCGATGGAAAATTCACTGGAATAGTCATGACGTCACTCAGAAGTCAACTAGGCCATGCAAGTATTTCCGTTTTTCTTTTGGGTAATTTGTTGATTGGTCTTCATTTTGTTTTTGAGAAAATACTTTGTATAATGGGTTGTCACAACAGACTTTAGAGATGTTGTGGTTTTAACTCAGGGAATACATGCAATCATTTTTATGGGACTGTTCTTTCAAATTCAAAGTTTTGTATTCACTGTATACTCAGTGTGTTACCTCCCGAGTGAACGTTGGAAAAAAATCACTCGGGTGGGACTCGAACCCACGACCTCCTGCTTTCTAGTGCAGATGTCTTACCACTCAACCGCCTAGCTAACGGGATCGGTTGGCTGGTTCGAATCGGACTGTTGGCTGGTTCGAATCGGACTGTTCTTTATGGGACTGGGACTGAAAATTGCCTTTTTAATGTCAAATTAAAGTGAAGTTTATTGTAAGCATAAAAGAAAAAAAAAAAAAGCACAATTATAAAAAAAGGGTTATTCACCTCTGGGCTCTCCAAAGACTTCGGCTGAGGCATGTTAAAAAAACATTATAGGCGCCGGCGATAAAAGAAGAGAGAAAAAAAGGAGAGACAAAAATTGGGTTATTTTTTGCAATTAGTCAACCGCTGCTTATGCTGCCACCATTCTTACAAATATAAAGTACAAAGAAAAGTCACCAATTGTTATTATCCCTTATGTTAATAGTTCCTCCCTCCTTGGTCCATAGTGTATAAAGCAGGTGTGAGTTTGAAAAGCATCCACAACCTTGGTGGTGGTTGTGGCAAGTTTTGTGGTACAAGTCGACCTCCAAAGCAGGCGCAATAAATACCACTGCAATTTTGCTCTGTGTATTTGCTTTCCTCTTGGCAAGCACTGTATGCACTTCTGTACCTTTTTTTTTCTTTAAAGGGAATGTACAACATCTGCTTTTGCTGCAATTTTCAGAAATAGATGGATTTGGAGGATTAGAATGTTATAGCAAATATTGTTAAACTGACTTGTTTCATGTTTTGGGCTTGTACATGCTTGAAAAGCCAAGAAAACCTATCATGTTCTGGCAGTCTGGATTCCTGAGCCCACTTAAGATGAAACAGAGCAATTTGTGGACTTTGGGGAATTGTAAGGTCAGAGAATCAGTCTAGTAGGCTTGTACCCCTTCACAGGTGTGTAATCAATTGCACAGAAAATGCGGAGTAACTAAATATGAAAAATTAGGATCAGTTTTGAAAATAAGCCAATTTTCTCCAACGCGTTGGAAATATACAATTTTTCTTGAAAATGTCAGCACACCAGGAGCCATGATTTTACAGGATGCTTTAGACTGTCATTCCAAAACAATCCAGTAAGGTATTTCGTGATAATTTGATTATTTCATTTTTTGACGTTTGCAAATGTTGTATTTTCCCTTTAAGCCTTGAAGGACATTCTTACACAGCAAAAACCAACAGACCTGAATGACATCACGCTTCGTTTACATTGTGCGCTTTCTTGCGGGAGCTTGGTGGTTCTCTTCCCGAACTGGTTCCCAAAGGAAAGCGCACATGTAAACAAAGCTGATGTCATTAGGGTTCAGGTCTATTAGGCAAACAGTTGTCTGTAGATGCAGTGTTTTTTAATGGCTTGAATTGCAGGCCCACCTAAGCACTCTGGAAGGCCGGAAGTATAATAACCGCATATGAAAATGTTAAAGTTGGCTGCCCATAATTGTTACAAAGGTTTGGTCAATACCAACAACGCTGTGTCGTGTTTCTTTGAAAGATGTTACTGAATCCAGTCAATCCACACAAACAACTTGTCTTACCCATATTTTTGTTTTCTTAATTCAGAGAAAAACTGCAAGGCATACACGATGGACACAAAACGTAACTAGGAAAAAAACCTACTTAGTAATGGGCAAATCCAGGAGTAATAAGGAAAAGCGGTGAAGGGATTCAGAGGGTTAGGCTGTGTCCGAAATGGGCTTCCAGAGCTACGGCTACGTCTATTGTCAGCACGTCCCCGTGTATTTTCAACGGGCGCAGACCTAGACCTAGCTCTAGACAGCCGATTCGGATGCAGCCTTATCTTCATTTAGCAAAAAACGAACCCATCTGAAGGATACAAGATACAAGCTTTCTTTGTAATACTGACCCTCCTCCTGACAGCAATCTGGGCCAGCTGGTCATCGCTCAGCGACGGTGGTTTGTACTTCTCCTTCATCTTTTCTGTCTCCTCTGGGGGCCACAGCAGACGGATCAGGACCGAGTTGGGGATGAACCCTGACGGATTGATGGGTAATGCCAGCGGGGGCTGGGGTGCTGGCTTCCGCACTTCCACCCTCTCCACCGTCGCTCGGATTCCATCCTCGTAATCTTCCTCCCGAAGTTGCGTCTCAAAGATCCCCGGTAGATCTTGGGGTTTGGGTGGCCGGCGGACGGTCGAGGGGTGGGGGAAGAAGCCGGAGGGCTCCCTCTCTGGTTTCCACGAGGCCTCGGATTCTTCATCCTCGTCTCCGGCGTCGGGATTGAAGTTGTCCTCGTCCGGGATCTTCTCGTGTTCTGTCTCCAGGTGGACCAGATTCCAGTACCTGCGGAAGGCAGCTTTCTTGATCTTGGCAGCTGAGACGGCGGCCTTTTTCTTGGGCTGTTCGTCGAAGGTGCCGTCGCGGAGCTTGCGGAGCTCAGTTTCTCTTGCGTCCAGTACTGTGAAAGCCTGAAAGGAATGCAAATTATGTGCAATGGGGGAAAATGAGTGAAAGGATTTTTTTTTAAACAAAGTATGGCCTTCTGATATAAAAGTGATTGATAGTGAAAAGGACATCTCCTTTTTTCCTGTTTAACATTATTCACTTCACGCTTCACAAGATACTATTTGAATTCAAATTAATCAAGTGTTAAGAAAGCCACAAGTGCACAATATTTTAAGCTCTGGCAGTAGCTTCTACATTTCACTTGGTGGTCGGTCTGTCCGTCTGTCCCCAGAAAATTGACCAAAAGTATGATGTTCCATATGTGCCATCGGCGTCGCATTTCTCGGCGTCACATTTTTCAGCTCTGGCATGGATCCTTTTGATCGATTTCATGCAAAATTTCTTGCAACATGGCCAGAGCTTATTGTGCACTTGCACTTGTTCTATCTGACGGACACGTAGTTTTACAAAATTTCAAATTTCTTCTCAAGACGAACTTTAAAGGAATATAATAGCCTGTAACAAATAAATCTACTTGTTGGCATTTGCAGGACTTTATACATTAAAAAAAAGATTTTAAATAGCATGCCACAGTTCAGAAAGTTTTAAGCAAAATGCTATAAATTTTCATATCTAGTGACATAGCCAGGGAATAGCATGTCAATTTTGGAATTGGGCGTTTGGTGGGCCTGGCCCGATCCTAGCTACGCGAAGATCGCGCCCAGGCCGACACACTGCTCCGTGATCATGGTAGGCCTACGTGCACCCAGGCCGGCCTGGCTGCACCACAGATCCTACTTTCTATCAGGATCTCTGCTATCGTTGCGTCTTTTCCTCTCAGAGGATTGCCAAACCCATGCTTTTCCAAGTCTTGTTTTACATGGTCCCAATACAGTATGACCATACCGTGTATACACACATGTACATATATGGAGATTGGCACAGAATTTGTCTCAATATTTTCTTGACTTACAGCTTCCTTGAGTTTCTTCTCCCTCGTCAATTCCTCCGTTTCCTCCTCAGTGAGAACGTCTTTGAAATGCTCAAACCTGAGACAAAGATAAGACCAATTGACAAATACTATTTCAAGTATCAAAATCACTGTTTTCGCTGTGAGTTGCTCTGATTTTCTAAGGACCCTTCAATCCAGACAGGGCTCTGGAGTGCTCTGAAAGGTGCAAAACTAAATCAGGCCCACTTTACTCACAGCTTAACCAGCAAATTTCTCCAAAAATTCCACTGGGGCAAAGAAAATGTCCTCAGTATTTCACCAACCAAGTTTGCAGACTGAATTCAATTTTTAAAAGAGATTTTTCTTCAATATTTTGCACATGAGAGGGAAGTCAAGCGATTTCAAAATGGGGCTAAATACTAGACTGGAACATGTCCAACCATGGTCCAACTATTTGAAAAGACTGACCCCTTCATTTAGTGTCAATAGTCTGGTGGCTTGACTATGGAGAAATGTGAAGTAAATTGAGACTAGTTCCCGCTTCATGCCACATGTTTCTTAAATTCTTTTGGCATGGTTGACCGATGCAGTTCTGAAGCTGTGTTGGACAGGTTGTGTTAGGTGCCAGTCTATTTTCTTGTTTTGCATGTTTTCAATACCATAAGTTTTGGGACTCTCAAACACAGTATTGAGAGTCCCAAATTTTCGGACTACCTTCAATCCCTTAATTTTTTCCCTTCACTTGTACATTTCAATTTTGCAATCTCACTTTTGGGATACTCTTAGAATGAATTTTAAGAAACACTATGATACTATGGATTTCCATTTCGTAGTTAACCCTTTCCTGACCATGTCGACATTTGTCGACAAGGATAGATATGATGGGCATCTCTGGATGACTTCTTACTTGAAAACGGAAGAGTGCGCTGCCTTCAATCTCTTGTTGCTCAGCGGGGACATCGCTCGGACTTTGTCCTCATCTAGCGGGATGGGGGTCTCCGTGGGAACATCGGGAAACACCATGGAAACCATCTTCCTCAGGTACATTCTTGGCATATCTATGACAGGAAAGAGAATTTGGAGAAATTTTAGCAAACATGTTTACATGTTGAATATTTTTAGCATGAGGTGATAGCAAGAATGTGTTTAGAATTGTGTTTACTCGCTTAAACCCATTTTTTTGTAGGCCAGGCAAATATACACTCAGAGGCAATTAGGCTACCTCTGTCCCAATGCCTAAAATTGAAAACTTGGTCCCATGGTCAATTTGAACTCTCTTGAAAAATTACTCATAACTCTGTCAAAAATTATCAGATTTGGACGTTTGATGTCTCATTTTAAAGTGGAAAGGCGTATCTTTCAAACCATACCTATATTATCTGTGTTGGCTACACATTCTACGTCTAGCATTCCGTTAAATTTTGTTTGCATTTTTTTTTGATACACACTGTATGGGCTCCGTGCGCTGAGAAAAGAGGGCGCCCTTTTACCTAGCAACGACGTCCCATGGGCGGGACATTTCGCTGGTTGACGCACACCGTTCCTTGTGTGTGACCCACGTACACTAGTGGATTTGTACTATGCACACGCAGTGGTCGCGCTTTGCGGCAAATGAATTGCAGTCAGGCAAGATGGCGTCGGTCGGTCACCCCCAACTATACTTTCTTTGCCGGTGAGGGGGTACTTGTGAACGGAGCGTGGATAGGGCAGATCAATACTTACAACTAGCATGGTCTATCCGGTGAATGTGGTTCCCAATGCCCACCAGCAGGTCTCCCTTCTGACTGTAGAAGTTCAGGCTGAGTGCTTCGGCGTTCAGCTTGATGGATCTGGTTTACAGTGGTTCAGATGATATTGGTTATGTGTCTTATATCAATTAATCCCGGCAAGCACAATTTAGGTTTAATGAGCACACTCAATGCTTTAAAGATATAGTCCATCATTTGTAATTTGTGCATTTTGTTCATTTGAAGCAACAAACATACTAAAAATCTGAAGAAAGGTACTGAGCAACTAACCTGATGAACTTTCAGCTCAGCTTCAGCTGTATATTCCGAGAAAAACAGCATTCTAGGATCCGATTTCATATCAAAAGTTGCTGAATCATGTTTTGAATTGGGCCTGAATTCAGCGTCCGAGACACGTTCTCACTGAGCCGAATGCAGTTACGGGATGTCACGCACCGATCCGACGAATTATAGCGCGCGCGTGTGCGTCGTGTCAATGCTTGTGCGCGCTGCTTCACCGAATAAAAAAAACAAACTACTAACGGAAATTTCCTACGGTGCGTCTTAAGAAGCACCGTTGGAAAGGCCTTCTTTCGTTGATTACTTCAAAATAACAGCTTGCCAGAAAGAATGATTTCACAGGGAGTTTAGTCCCCTTACTATCTTTCAACCAGGTATGTTTTTCAACAATAATTACGCCAGTTACTTTTCGGATAGCTGCAAATGATGGACTATAGCTTTAAGGTAATAGACAACATAAAATGCAAACATCAGAAAAAGAAAACTACCAAAGTATTATGCAGTACCTTACTTGACTGTAAGTGAATAATTAACCCATCGTGGAAGAAGCGCATCAACGTAGCTTGTGAAATATTGTCCAATTACAAGATATACAAATGGACGCGGAACGCGCAAAATCTGAGACAAACAAAAGTTAACATACAAAATTTCATAGGGTTGTCTATGAGGCGTGGCTTACTTGCGATAACGGCGATAGGTCAATGGTCTCAAGCATCCTGTGAAATCATGGCACCTGGGGCCAATTTCACGGCGCTGCTAAGCACAAAAATTTGCTTAGCACAAAAAATAATCTGGCCTATAAAAGCAGGTTACCAGCCAAAACTCCATGTCATGTATATTGCTCGGGATTAGTATTCAGCTGTTGTTTGCTTAGCATGAAAATCACATAGAGTTTTGGCTGGTAACTTGCTTTTATAAGCCAGATTTTTTTTGTGCTAAGCAAAGTTTTGTGCTTAGCAGCGCTGTGAAATTGGGCCCAGGTGTGCTGTCATTTTTGAAAAGTTTAAGTGGAATTTTTGTATCAAATGCTGCCCCCAATTTACCAAATTAAACTAGTCCACATGTAATTTGCAATCGGTTACATCTGTGAACGAGTGCAAACCAGCTAGTCTAGTTCCCTGCCCTGACAATTCCCGATGTCTATAAATTGATCCGATTCATCTGAAGTAGGGTCAGGGAACCAGACTACAATAACAACATTTTTTTCTTCTTTTTTTCCAGCATCTATGAACACGAAACTTTGAACACGTTAGTGTAATGTATTTGCTATAAAATACTAACCCCAAATCAATCCATTTCTGAAAATTACAATAAAAAGCGAATGTTGCATAATGTTACTTTTAACTGGATTTGAAAAAGGAATGCAGTGCCATGAAATTAGCCCTGATTGTCCTATTGTCCAAACAACATTTTGATCGTATTCTTGCTAACCTGATCAACGTGTTATCCTCGTCCCATATCTTGATGGTTCCGTCGGTGCTGGAGGAGGCAAAGACGCCCATGCGTGGATTGCACGCGATGCCCGTGATGCTGTCAATGTGGTCCTGATCAGGACTATGATCATTCCTCTCTGGCAATACGAGAAAAAAAACCAACACAGCGATCAATGGCGTCCAAGAGTGAAAAGTAGATGTTGCTTCACGAACACTCATATGAGCTCTGTAGGACATGCACTTACTCCATTACTCTCGAGGACAACAGTGGTGTAGCTGGGGGTGGGGGTTTCCCCAAAATGATGCCTTGTGATCTGGAGACCCAGATATTATACGGAACAAAAGATTGTAAAGGTCTCCACAAGGCAATTTCTAAAGGTGAATTGGTCTCCACAAGGATTTCACGAAATAGATTTTACTCAAAAACTAGGAATTTCCAGGGTAACTTATCTGTCACAAATAAAAATATTTTATGTAGGGATATTTGATCAGAATTTCAACCCAGGAAAGTAATTCTGGTTGAAAATAGGAGCACCCTCCCACGATTTTGTACACGAGAACAAAGCGATGTCTCCACAAGGATACAAATTTGAGTAAATGGGGGTTGGGGTGGTAAGGGGTATTTAACCCCCCAATATTTGTAACCAGCGCCTTTTTTTCATGAGGGCCTTTTTTTAACGTTGCACAAAACCCAGCACTTTTGGTCCCATGCAAAGTGCCACCTAGTTGTCCGATGGTGCCCCTGATCGTCCATTTTGAACAGCGCCCCCATAGGAAGATGGTATTCAGCCCCCACCCCCTTTTGATTGTCGGTGAAAAAACCTAGTCTGCCTTTCAGCACAGATGAGGCAAGTGCCTTTTTTTCACATCTACCCTCCCCAATCAAAATGACCTTGCTACCCACTGGACAAGGCTGTGTGCTTCCCTTTGTTCCTATAATATAACACTCTCCCATTGACTTTTAATGCACACCCTTAAACGTTCGAGGACCGCTCTCAACAAAAGATGAACTCCCATGGATAAGAAAGAGTCTGTTGTTCTCTCTTTGTGTGGCTGTCCCCTAGATGTTCGAAATACATGTAAAGACTAAAGGATTTCCCATTTTGTTGAACGTCACATTGCAAACTTGACCTCGATAATGCAAGTCTGTCTGCCTCCCTTCAGGGCCATAAAACTGACACAGGGCCTCAAGTAGACTTGATGACAAGTCGTTAGATAGTCGTATTCTGTCTGTGAACTTCAGTCAAACTCCATCGGCGCGGCTGGAATAAGACTAGTACTAATTGGCCGGGTTGCGACATATCTAACGACTTGAAGGTTACGTTCTCCACCGTTATTCATATATGCGTGCAGCCCACTACATATGCAGTGCATTTTTGCGGTGAGATCCAATGGCGCACCGCAATGCAAATGAGGACTCATTCATTCCGTTACATGGGGAGTTCTTCTCAATACGTCGGGACATGTTTGCAGATCGGGCGACGTTTTAACGGCCAAATCACTCAGCTTGGTCAATTGTGTATAGAAATAAGATGTATCATTGTGATATACTTGATTTATTTGAGTCGTGTGCCCCATAATGAATTTTGGAATGTTACACCACACAAACCACAAACCCTCGAAGTAATGAGAATGACCTTCCGTTGCGGCCTAGAATACACGCTGGAATCTGGAACAATCAGATTGCTCGCATAGAATTTGCTAGCGATTCAAAATACTCCCATATTTTATGTACAAAATAGAAAACGTTTTCGCCAAGTCGGTTATTGAACATCAATAGTCAGCATCATTTGGTCTGTGAACCAGGATGCGCGCATTGCAGTGATGTTTTGCGTGCATGGAACCAGTAACCGGTACCGTACATACGTGAACAATAACTGACTTGGCACCAAGTCTAGGTCTCAGGCAGGAGCTGGCTAAGTGAGTTATAGGGCACAGGTGCGCATTCCAACGTTACTAAGTAACCTACGGACTTATGGAGAGACATGAGTACTTGTGGATCTACTTTCCGCAGCTAAAAATAAGTGAAAGAGGGGAACAAGTTTATGGTACTGTTACAAAATGCATGTGTATTTGGAGGTTTGATGACTTACCTTTGTTCTTGAGATTGTAGTGTACTATGCTGTAAGTGGCAGAGGACTCATCTTGGAAGGCTACACACAGGGTGGCCCTCATGACAGACATGTGCAGAGGGGTGTGGGCGCAGTAGAAGGACATCAGTGGGGCCAGGGACTCCTCAGCGAAAGGGAAGACACGCCAGACTTTGATCACGTTGTCTGTCGAGAAGAGGGGAGACAAGTACTGTTATGAGATATGAACCCTAAACCTTCAAGGATATTCTGTCTAGAACCCCTCTCAACGCAACAACATGCAACACTTGTCACAGTGAGAAGCCTGCCTAATGTTATAATATCCAGCAGGTTCAAATTTTCTACGGTCAACCTGTCCGAGAATTCACAGATGCCAATGGCGAAAATACAGGGTAGGGGTCAATCGGGTATACACCCCCACTTTTAACATCGGGGGTTGGGACATTGTACCATCCCCCCCCCCACCCCAGTTTGTTTGCGGTGAGAAACAAAAAAAGGCAAAGTTAAGGTTAATGTATGAAAATGGTGTGTGCTGACAAACTGGAAGCATGGCATCCTGGTTTAAAACAAAATCTTCATGAAATTTACAGGTTCCATATTTAAGCGTTAATGTATGAAAATGGTGTGTGCCGACAAACTGGAAGCATAGCCTCCTGGTTTAAATACAATATTTTGATGAAATTTACAGTTTCCACATTTGCGGTGGAGTTGAATGAGGTTATAGGTCAATCTGACTATATGCATACTTATGGAGGCCCCCCTTCAGTGGCAAAAGCATTATGCTAGCTATTGTTCAGATAATGTTCAAGGGGCAGTTGCCTTGTGCAATATCAGGCACAATGCCTCCACCATTGAAGGGGGCCTCTGCAGAGTTGTAATGACTCGAGTCCACTATGACTCGACTCGAGACCTACTTGAGTTACAATTTTATCTATTTTATCAAAGGCCGATGAATGTACAGACTTAGTATTTAACTTCACCACAGTCAAGTCATATACTGCACAGCCACTGCCACACATGCAAGAAACATGCAATAGCCGTACAGGCCAATCCCATGACGTCACACACACATCAGCTCGCCGTAGCGAAATTCATGTCCGCCATTTTGTTTTCGCGCTAACGTTAGCGACAAAATAGGATAGTTTACGGTAGATTTTTGGACCTACCGGTAAGCACAACATGCATTTCAATAGAGCCAAAGTTAGATGTTATACGAATGGTTGATTAATTGAACGGAGAAAAATAAACCTGCCGATGGAGCAAAAGAGACCCGCGAGAGCATGCCATGAGTGTGATGATTTTCACCCGTGCGCTGACCGACAGCTACGGCATGCGTCGGGACTGTCACTCCCATGACTACGCGTACTACGGTAATGATCTCATAATATTTATTGCTCTGATCTGGAATTTTTTTGTCCCCCCAAAAATCATGATATAAACACCGCTCATTTCTTATATGGCTCGTCTGTTCAATCAATCATCAACAATTCGTTTTGGACTCAATAAATTTAACAAAATTATGTTTTTTTATCAATAAAATTGCAGAAGTTATTTTCTTCAGATTCAAATTCCGTTTTCTGTTTCAAGGAGCAGATGCCGCGAATTCCGTCCGTTTTCCGCGATCGCGGAAAACCATTGGCCCTACATGTAGCAATTTGGTTTTGACGTTGTCAGACTTGTTCCAGACATGAAGCCAAGCCAGAGATAAAACTGACATTTAATTATTGTTCATATTATTAAACAAGACGAATCAAGTAGGGTGGGAAAAGTGCAAGCACTGTAAGTTGCTTCTCAGCAACCCCAACACACATAATGGGGCTTCGGTACTCTTGAGAACACAGTGCTTTTTATTTTTACCACTGAGAGCATACTTATGCATAATTCCCTTCAAATACATTGGTATAACTACACAGCACGTGCTGAACTTGCTTCTTCAGATAAGCAAGAGTTTATGCAAACACACACACACTCACAGTGACAAACGTAGGAGGGAACGCAAGACACACTGGGAAGGAACGTGCAGGGTAAAAGTCGGCTAACAAACTTACCATTGAACAGCATGCCGTAGTCTATTAGCACAAGGCGTCAAGCAACAGGCACAGTGAACAAGGATCAGCAATGGTAATTTTCAAACAGGGAACATTTTTATTTAGCCAGTCTAATGCCTTCTGTGTTGTTAAAGGTAGCGTAGATCATTTGCAGCTATCCAAAAAGTAACTAATCAAATTATTGTTAAAAAAGCTTACTTGGTTTAAAGATAGTAATGGCACTAAACTCCCTGAGAAATTATTCCTTCAGGCATGATGTCATTTTGAAGAAATCAATAAAAGAAGGTAATTTCCAAAGATATGTCAAGTGACATGACCCACACGCGCATGTGGTTGCTAGTATTCGTTGATGCAGTGCCTGACATCGCAGAGCTGCCATTGTTGAATGAAAACGTGTCCTGGATGCTGATTTTGGGATTGTCATGAGAGGGCGCAATTCAAAATATGGCATGGCAACTTTTGAATTGAAATCGAGATCCTAGAATATTGTTTTCTTGGAATATACAGCATTCACTGAACTGAAATTTCATTAGGTTAGTTGTTATACACTCGTCTTTAGATTTTGAGCATTTTTGTTGACAAATGATCTACTCTACCTTATAACCGTTTGGTTCAGATGTGTATTATCATACTGTTTTTAAAGCTACAGTCCATCATTTGTAATTTGTGCATTTTGTTCGTTTGAAGCAACAAAAGAGTTCAAAATCTAATGAAGGATACTGAGCAACTAACCTGATGAAGTTTCAGCTAAACTTCAGCTGTACATTCCGAGAAAAACAGCATTCTAAGATCTCAATTTCAAATCAAAAGTTACTGAATCATGTTTTGAATTGTTTTGAATTGCAGCTATATGCGACGTCGCGCACTGATCCGACGAATTATAGGAACCTTGCGCGCGGGTGTGTCGTTCCAACACTTGTGCGCGCTGCGCTGAATAACAAAACGAACTACTAATTTAAATTTTCCTACGGTGCTTCTTAAGAATCACCATTGGAAATGCCTTCTTTCGTTGATTACTTCAAAATGACAGCTTCCCAGAAAGAATAATTTCACAGGGAGTTTAGTTCCCTTACTATCTTTCAACCAAGTTTGTTTTTCAACAATAATTGGATGGACTCTAGCTTTAAAGTTGGTTGAAATGTTGAGAATAACATTTAGACAGATACAGATAAGGAATTGTTCAGAGGAGCCAATGCGTTTCTTACACGAGACAAACTGACAAAGTAAGGAATAAAGGACACGATGCGAGAATATTACACTATGTGACCACCTCTAACTGGAGTCAAATGACCCCCCAAAAAAGTTATGAGATTTTCACATCATCAAACGGAGCAGAGAAAACCTTCATTTCATGCAACACCACTGACTTCTAACGAATGTCGGTCATTGTAGATGTTGGAGAAAGGATTGATGACTCATTGTCATGTCCGGCTCGGTATCCTGGCCAAGACATTATTAAGCCATTTAAGAAAGGAATACTGACCTAGTCCCGTCGATATCAGGAGGTCATTCTTCGGGCTGGCCTTGAGTCCAAGCACTCCTTTGAAGCCATGAGCCTTCAATATGATAGAGGGCGACAGACAAAAATGTTATACCACGGTAATAGATTGTGAATTTATATTGGTCCATCATTGATCCTGTGTCATGCCACAAACACAATTGTACAGCGATATACATGAGTGATGTACCCAACGGGGTACATTACCTTTTTCTTTCCAGCTGTTGAAAATGTTGTTTCTACTGCATGGTATTATATTTGTGTGACATTAGGTACGACGTTGTAGCTTTGCTGGTACTACGTAAATCGATACATGTTTTAACAAGATGTGCCATGGGGGACAGAGTGAAGCACTAATTCTGTTGTGACTGCCATTGTCGTTTACATCGTTCATCACTGTTTGTCTGCTTTTTTTAACTGCAAACTTCGCCGTAATTTCACAGTAATAATGTCGGCAGATGACAACAGGTCCAATTTAAGAAGAGGTTTCTCTCTTGTTCCAAAGACGAGATCAGAAATTTGATTTTAAACAGGAATGCATCAGCATGAAGAAACATATGGAAAATTATGTGCGAGAAGTTTGCCAATTCTGTACCGCAACAGGAAGAGACCCACAGTTTCAGACGTTAGTAATCTATTACTGTGGCATGACAAAACAATTGTTGCCTGCAGTGACGGGGTCCATGGGTTTTGTACACCCTCTGGGGCAAATGGCAAAGCCTTGGGTGCCATTTACCCCCTTGGGTGTACAAAATACCATGGACCCTGCCACAGTAGGCAACAATTGTATAATGTTACAAAACATATTTTAATAATGGTGAAGTTTTGGGCACTAGCTTCTAGGGGTTCAAAAGTCTTTCCACACTCACGTCAGCTTTGAAGACCACCTCCATTGTGTTCCAGTGCAACACAGCAACGTTGCCGTCCCTCCGGCCACCGATCAGTAAGGTGCGATTCCGGGACTTGCTCTTGCTCCAGCGGGACTCAGGCGTCTGCGTGGGCTCAATGACGTACTCGTACAGGGCGATGGTGTTCAGGTAATCTTTCTCGTTGTGGCTCTCGTGCTTCCAGACTCGGAGCACCTTGGCCGGGTTCTTTGACGTGTCGGCTTTGATGATGTCGCCGGTCTTGCAGACAACGAACAAGATATCTGGACAGTGATAAGAAAAAAATAAACAGAATGTTCAGAGTGACCATGCGAGAACATGAGTCTGGTATTGCCAGAGGTATTTTTAAGTTAGGAGTTATGTCATTACAAATCTGGGATAAGTTGGGCAGTGGTGTAACTATGGTTAAAATTCTGAGGGGTACCTGGTGTGCACACATTTTGCAAGAGGGGCACCTGAAGGCAAGCGATATACCCTTTTGTTCAATACAAGATTCCAAATGGGGGGGGGGGGGGGGGGAGGCGGGGAAAAGTGGGGGAGGAGTTGGGGAAGGGGCATGGACATCTGCTGTGGCCGCGCCCCCCTCCCCCCCTCCCTCCCCAGCAACATACAGGACTATTGTAGTAGGCATTGCGGTACCCGCTACTACATCAGATAAGAACCAGCCAACAGATCTCAGCAAGCTCGGTGGTTGAGTGGTAAGAAGTCTGCACTAGAAAGCAGGAGGTTGTGGGTTGGAGTCCCACCCGAGTGATTTTACTCACTTTCACTCTGGGGGTAGCACACTGACTATACAGTGTTTATACCTCAGTGAAGTTCAAAACCTAATATAGAATTTACATCACACCAATGCAAATTCCATCCGAAGAGTAGTAGGTACTTGTTACAACATTCTGAACGACATCCCAAAGAAATTAAAACAACAAATCCATGTTTTGGGGTGTGAAACTGAAAAATACAGAGAGGGGAGCAATTGTAAAAGCCCATTCTTGAGGGGAGATAATGGTCGGCCTTACTGTCTGCCGCCGCGTAGGCTGCGTCCAGGATTCCTTGCTTGGTGGAAGCGAGGAACGATGTCAGTACATCACCGGATCCTGGCGTGATAATCCGGACACTGCTGTCTCTACACAGACATACGGCTCTTGTTGGCATCTGGGGCCAAAAAAAAAAATTAAAGATTTTTCAAACACAGCTCAATTTGGGGAGTTTATAAAACCACTTTTAAGAATCTGGTGCATGGAACGTGACAATTTTTTTTCCAAAACTGCTGAATTAAGGGAATTTATAAAAACTGTTTTGTTTTGAGCAATATGCTCTTATCGGGTCCTTTAAGGGAATTTATAAATAAAGCATGTACATGTATTAAAAACAAAGCATGTTTCAATCAGAAACACAATTTTGGCCAAAAAAAACCCCCACAACCAAAAACGAGCATCCCTAATGAAATGATAACACTGGCAGTTTTAAAACAAAATATACGGTGGGCTGAAAAAAAAGGCACACTTACATTTGGATGATCAGTCGTCGTTATTTTTGTCACTTTACTCCTGAAAGCGCAATTGAGACAAAAATAAATTAGAGTTGATCCCTTATGACTTGTAAAAAACAGTCAGATCACAATCGTGTAAACACTGTGACTAGTCAAATTCCATCAAGAGAGGTATTAACTGGTAGGTATAGCTGGTATATCAATCACCTCCAGTCAAAGCATGGCTATATCAAATTAACAAGGGAATTCTTAACTGTTAAAACAGTCACTTGATTGATTTTGACTTCTGTGATGGTTTAGCTGAAATTGTAATACAAATTTTAATACAAGCTTATTGACACAGGCAAGACATCAAATACAACAATTAAGGAATAGATCATTTCCCAACGTTTTATCGAATGGAATATACCAAACAAGTGAAACCTGGAGATTACCTCAACAAATTATTGTGGTACTGAAAGGAATAGGTTTCTGTTACTAGGCGTTGTGATCCTCGGCGAGACCAACCAAATTGGGGCTTTCACTTGCTGTAAGGCCCATGAACAAGACGTCAATGGGCTTTACTTGTTGCAAGTACCCCGTCCAACTATTGAACTTTCTGTGTCAGGAATGCTTCCAAAACTTGTGTTGTGTTTTGTCCAAAGCTGCAAGCTGTTAATAAACATATATTGACTAGCAATGAGATCACTTTAGTTCACTTTTACTGATCCTGGGAGACAGTGACTGACCACGAATCGGTCCTATTTCCTAAGGCCGGGTTTTTTTTATCAACTTTCACTTAAAGTTTCAAAGCTAAAGAAAAAAAAAAAGGAGAAAAATCTGAATTTTTTTAAGGTAAAAACTGATCAAAGTCGCAGTTTCAATCCAAGAGAGAGTACAAGAATTTGTTGTTGTTGTTGTTGTTAATGTAAACTTTGTGAAATTTAGGGCCCATCTCAATTTATATCAGGGAGGAGTTCCAACAAGTTGCAGGTAGAATCATTCACTTTGTCCAGAAGAAGCTCCTGCAAGTTACACCCGATACAATGTCTGGAACTTGTCCGGAACTGGTTCCGGACATGAATTGAGACAGGCCCTTAGAAGCAGTATACAATGCTTACCCCACTGCTGTGAAGAGATTGTGGATATGCCTGAGACGCCACAGATCTACAGTCGTTTTGGAATGAGAGAAGATATTGTCTTTCCGTAGCACTGTGCCTAGCCCCTCCACAGGCTCATCAGTTTCAATCCTGAAGAAAGCAGACAAAAACCCACATTTTCCACATGCTTTTTAATTTGTTGGGAGAAAAATGAAGATAATTGCATTGAAGTGGTAGTAACTGTACTGCAATTCAAGGACCGATGCACCGGTAATGGAATTTTCCTAAATGCAATTCTTGAAATGTACCTTTATGTTCCATTTAACTTTATTTTTAATCTTCAAATTGCCATTTTACATGTAAAGAAGTTTTGGTGCTTTTTAAAATATGTTTATGCTAATGAAAATTAGTGAGCAATTAATGAGCAAAACTGTGATGTCATTCAAGGCAGAAACTTCAGTGTCACATCTGCTTCAGCCAAAAAAGTCACCAAAATGTTAGGGGTTCGCTGTGGTTTGTTTTATGCCTCCAGTGATTCACTGTTGTTTCAGTACCTGACATGTAGACAATGAGAGAACTTTCAATCCAAAGAATGTGTTCCTAAAGTGACATCACATCAACAGCGTCCTCAGTTGTCAGAAAAACGTGAAACATTACACAAGTATAAATGTAGCTGCGATAGCAGCTCAACAAATCATCATGTCTCTCCGTTAGTCCGTTAGTTAGTTAGTAACAAACGTTGACATTATCTACTGCTCCTCCATATTTTGACCGATTTCAACCAAACTTTGTCAAAAGTATCAGTAGCCCAGCCCCAACATGTCGCATGACCAAGCTGGGGTTAAAGGTCATCATGGGATCACTGGGGTCAAAAACCTGATTTTTTTAAACTCAAAACACTACTCTTTCCAGAAATTACATGGCACAATCACGTGACACATGCATGAACACAAATTCGTTGGCCCGCAGCTTTAGAGATCCGATCGAGCTGTTTTTTTTTTACCAAAAAGGGATGTTTTATAGTTTTTGTACATTAAAGAGGAATGGTGTCATTATGGTAGAGTTCGCTTCTTACATGTCAACTTCATCGCAGGTTTCCAAGCTCCATACCCGCAGTGAGCAGTCCTGGGATGCCGACACGATGTAAGGGCCGTAGGGGTACACGCCGAGGGCGGTCACGGCCGCGCTGTGGCCCACAAACACCAGCAAGAGGTGCCAGGTGTCGTCCCAGACCTTGATGGAGCCGTCGCGGGCACCCGTGATGAGTTGCTTCAAAGGGTTGAAGAAGAGCATACTGCAAGACATAATGACACTGATGGTGTGAGTTATAATCAAAATTACAAATGTAATGCGATCAAGCTACATGAGTTGTTTGTCAGGAATTTTCATTTGGAGATTCAGGCCAAAATAGGGCCACTTCATCACATCACTTCATCACATCTCTTGGTGTTCCGACTTCCATAATTTTGAACTAAAGATGGTATCAGCATGCGGTTTTCACAGCAGTAATGCTAAGATTGTGCTCTTTTCAAATCTGTAATAAAACAATTTTTGACCAGGGCTGACAAACAACTCATTTAGCTTGATCCCATCACAAATACTGAAAGTGTATTCCAGACTTCGGACACTCAGCTGTAAAAAATAAAGTAGCCAGAAGCTACAAGCCCATTTTGATGATGTTCAAGGTGCGGATCTACAAATCAAGTGACTGCTTTGTACCATACTTCTACATGCGCACAGTGAATGGGTAACATATATTTTGATTTACGATTTGCTTGTGAATTAAAAAAAAATGTATGCCTGTTGTCTGACGGCGTATATATATGTATTTTATAATTTAACAAAGGAGGTGAGAGGCACATTTTTCACACAGATCTTCTCCCTGGCCAAATCACTGAAATATTTGGAAGCTTGAGAACTGAACGACACATTGTGTATCTTTAATGCTGTGGAAAACTAATATAGGCCACTCAGCTTTGGTGGATGATTGGGTTTTTTTGGGGGGTGGGGGTGGAGTGGGGAGAGAGGGGGAAGAGACATACCATGATGTAAGCAAACATTTAAGTTGCCTCATTGACGCATTTTCCCGTTCTGAGCCCTCTTGCTTTCATTGCTTCAGAGCACCCTGGTTCAATGAAACAATGATATAAACATGTGAATTCAGATTCGATTAACTTTACCTTGTAATGCTCCTAACATGAAGGTTCTTCTTGTACGACAACAGCGTTCCCTCATACAGGTTGAAGACGGCCACCCCAGCATCATGGACAGCGAAGCATCGCTGGGCTCGGCTGGCTGTTGTCTCTAAGGCAATCATGGTGAACACGTCGTCTGGTGTCAGTCCGGTAGGATCGATGGACTTCTTGGGGATGAGGTGCTTCGCCCCGTAGCGGAAACACCAAGACTGAGAATAGAAACCGATCCAAGAAGAAAATTAAGCCTTTTTTTTCACATCAGACTCAACAAAATGTACAGAAGTCCTGATCCTCTTGATATAGCAATTTAAGGTTTCAAAGATTCTGTTGTAATTATATTATGATATATGTGAGCAATGCAACTTTTATGAGAGCCAATCGGAGTCGGCTTTAGAAATATTGTGATGTCATTTTGATCAGAAATGTGGACTAAGCTGTTGATTGGTCAATTTGGCTGCTATGTTTTTGTAATACTACAACGGGTTACGGAAGACCTGAAAAGGCGCCCGCTGCATGGTCAGACTCTCAAGGGTCAAGACGCAGTCTTGTTTTGCATAATTAATCGCCGAATCTGCTCGCATATCATAGACTTTTGCTGTGCAAGAGGATATTCCATAGACTAGCAATCCCCCCCTCTAAAACAAATTCAGCCTAGAACCTTGCCTGGCAAACATTTAACAATTGTTGACTGCTGTGATGTGGGATATGACGTTTTGAACAGCTGAGGAGCGCATATAGCACCAGAGTCAACAATTGTTTTGTTATACCTCTGTCTTGGATTCTTTGGATTTTGATGTAAAAATCACGAAAACAAACAGCAGCAAACACAATGATAATGACAATTGAACGTCAACTCACATGCATGTCGCGTGCTCAAAACAGCTGATCGTCTGCTAGTTCGCTGTTCCCACTCATGCGTGAAAACATGGTGAAAATAGCGTGGGTACCAACGATACAAGTGTTTCACACCGTGCCATACGTACCGTATGTACAAAGTCATAGCAACACTCCCTGTTGGACATCACGTACGTGATATCCCACAGGGAGTGTGCCATGACTTTTTATATACTTAACACGTGATCGTTCTAGGCCAATGAAAATACAGTATTCAAGACAGAGGTATAACAATCACTAATTGCAAACCGGTGCTTCATGCACATGCAGTGGCTCCAAATTGGGAACCTACAATGAACCAGTTTACACTTGTAACAAACGCAATCGAAAATGGAAATTGATCGCATCATGTCAAGTTATTGCACTGTGCCTTCGCACTTTTGCACTTTGCACACTTTTGACCCTTAGAATTTGTAATGTCGATTTGGCTTTGTTTCTGCTTTGGTGGAAAGAAGATTGAGCACAGTCTAGATCTTGTCACTTTCTACATACCATGATTGACGCCTGCCCGGCAGTCACTACCTCATTCTGCTGGTCGTTGTACAATGCGCAGCAGATCTTGTGGGGCGCCTTGGCTTCCGAAATCAAGTCAAAGTCTTCGGTGAACATCTAGGACGGCCAAAAAAAGTAGTTATTGTACGAAAGTTTGGCATTATTTATGATGGTTTTGGCATGTTCACTAACATGTACTGGCCGTCTTCTAAACCAACTAAAGGCTTTGTGAACGAATTTTAAGGACACACATAGCAGGGTTCCACCTTAACTTTTTTTTCACTAGCCAGCCGGGCTACTCAGTACTGAAACAGACTCTGAACTAGCCCGTGGGCATTTTCACTAGCCCACATGTTTTTCTTGTATAGAGTGTCTCATAAACAACAATGTGCGTACAAATGTACATGTAAAACGTGTATCCCGAGGCAATCTTGTCAGTGGTTTTTAATAAACAGATCTAATAATTTCACCCTACAAAGTTAATATAATTAGTCCAATAATTTTTAGGCTCGCCAGCCGGGCTTCTTAAGGGATAGTTCGACTAGCCTAGCTGCCGCTGTTTTGACTAGCATTTGGATAGCGGGCTAAAGCTAAAGTCGAACCCTGCACGTAGGGACAAAAGCAACTTTTATTTCATTTAAAACTTTTCTGTGGAGAATGCAGGTACTGGGAGGGTTAGGGAAGACAAAACAATACCTTGAGGTATTCCTCGCCAGTCGACCAGCCCACATATCGCTTGACCTCTGGCGCAAAGACAAGCTTCTCAATCGGTTCCTCGGGCTCAAGTTGATCTTTGGCTCGGCCATCCTTGTGGAATAGGTTGATACCGTGGCAGTCTATGGTCAAATATTCCTTCATTGAAACCAAAAGAAAAAATTATTTCATTACCTAAATACTCAGTGATGAACTGGCCCCGAAGCCATCCTCGGGTCCACCTGCGATTTACTTGCACTGTGATGGAATTGTCGACACCACGCACAAACGACATGCTCATAAATGACAGCTGGCAATGACACCTTCTTGAATATCAGCAGGTTAAATTTTGTGGAAAGAGGGAAGGGCTTTGATTTTTGAGGGAAATTGTGGGGTAAAAGACGATGAAAACTAGAAAACACGTTCGAAAACCAAGACAGTGCCGAACACAATGAAAGCTCGATGCTGATTGGCTCACACACACTAAATGTTTTTAAAAAAAATTCTATCAGCCAATCAGCATCGGGCTTTCATTGTCATTGACACGGACAAGCACGGAACGTACATGTACGCGTGTGCTACTGCCAAAACTGGTAAGAATCTTACATTTATCCCAATGTTCGTTACAAAATGATTAAAAAATCCAGTGTCAAAGTAAAATATAAAGAATCCCGATGATGAAAACCCTAATTTTGAAATAATACACATTCTGTGAGAAGTTTCAAATGAGTCCGTTGTAACATTATAGGAACGGGGTCCCAAGTAATGATTACGATAAAATAATATTCTGTTTCTACACTGTATAGACAATGTGTACAAGCACCCTCTCAACAGTTGCGGAGATAGAGCAGAAGCCGGGAGGAGGGGTCAGCCTAGCTGGAAAGTTAACCAATTTTCATGTATGGAGCAATGTTCCACATGCATACCAATGTAAAAGGAAATGGACGTCTGCCGGGCACACTGTGGTGGGTATGGTCAGGAGGGCCATGAGAAAGGGGCCCCAAAATTGAGCTAGATCAGCTGGTGAGTTAACCCAATGAAACCTACTGGAAAATGTTGGGCCTAGTCCCAGGTATCATGAATGGCCACTGCCAGACATTTTCAGTGGTGGAAGGTGCCCGCCAGACATGAAAAAACCTGTATAGGAGGGGGCGTGGCCATAACCCCCTCCCAAGATAGAGAGAGTTTGGGGAGACCACTAGGAGGGACTCCAAAGCATTGCTGCCGTATGCCTGGGGTTCATGCAGAGATGATACAGATTTGTACGCATTAGGAATAAAAATAAAGACTTTCAAACCACAATGAGAAACTGACTAGGTAAATTATAAAAAAAAGTGATATAACTGAAAAGTTGATCAAAGAATTGACCGGAGCGGGATTTGAACCTGCGACCTTCAGATTGCCGTTCCGGTGCTCTACCAACTGAGCTATCCAGCCCTATGTTGGCGTTACCCCAATTTGTCAATATCTTTGTTTAAGGGGCACTAGTCAGAAGCCATAAACCCGTATTATGCCATGCAGCTAAAAATCACGCCCAGGTTTGTATCGTGATTTTTGGGCGTGATTCCTGAACGGTTATAATACGGAGGTTGCAGGTTCAAACCCCGCTCCAGTCAATTTCTTTGTTCAACTTTTCAACAACAAAAAAAGTTGTGTATACTTTGTACAATGACAGCAACCAAAGCATGTATGTGCCACTATACGGTGTGTGTCCTTCTGGCTGGGACTCCCAAACGTGGTCACACAGCATCATGTACAGGGTGAGGCAAAACAGCAAAACCCAAATGTCGGGACAATTGTTTTAGTGAAGTTCTGCATGTAGCACTTTGAAAATCTAGGATATGAAAGCCCAATTCATAAGCCTATTTTAGAACAAGAATCATTCACATCACTCGTGTACTTTTCAAGTTACGGAATTTTAAACACAACCACCGTTTTAAAGTTCTGTCCACGGATCACAAACAAGGGGTGCGTTCTTTCAGCAAAGTGAAAACAATTCACACACATCCCTATGTGATTTGTTTTTGTTTTGCTAAAAGAACACTTACCTTCTTGTGATCCGTGGACAGAACTTTAAAACGGTGGTTGTGTTTAAAATTCCGTAACTTGAAAAGTACATGAGTGATTTGAATGATTCTTGTACCAAAAGAAAGCCTATGAATTGGGCTTTCATATCCTACATTTTGAAAGGGCTACATGTAGAACTTCACTTAAACAATGGTCCCGACATTTGAGTTTTGCTTTTTTTTTACTCACCCTGTATTGTGAATGCATGGTGTCCATTGGAGTGTTAATTACCTCTGTTTCTTTGTTGTACATCACATCCAGTACAGGCTCAGTGTGGTTGATCTTGCGCAGGTGGTGCACCCCATGCCCGATGTGTATCTCGGCCGCGTCGGCCCGCGCCACTTCCCTCGTTGTCTTGCGGATGGACTCCCGCAGAGCTCGCCACAGGAACTGTCCCGTCGATTCCCCATCACGCTGACCGGCCCGGCGCTGTCTGTCCCTCAGAATCTTGGCGACCGATTCACTCATCGTTTGAGCTCAGACATGCTCCTGGAAATAACTAAAACTGGTACCTTGTTTGATCGGAGCGGCATGCCTGGCAAGGATTGTACGATATGCCACTTTCTTCAGATATCCACGACTGGTACAACAGGTTCTTCATACATCCAATTCAGATACGTTTATCTAGCAGTTGTTTCCGTTCTCTATGTTGCATGGAGTCCTGGAACGCTTTACATGTAGATGAGTAGCCAATTGTTCACGTTCCTCCTCAGGAAGTATCACGCTTCTATTCTGCATGAATAAAAATGGATGACATTTATACAGGTTCATTTCAGGGGCGGATCCAGGAATTCTTGCAGAAGAGGGGGAAGGGGGGGGGGAGAGTTCATCACCAAAAAAATCTGAAATGAAGATAGTTTTTCTTCTCTGGATACTTGGCCTCCTAATCAATAAGGGGGGGGGGGGGCTTGTACATGTACTTTCAATGGGGGCACTGTTCAAATCCGATGATCATCAATACTATATTACAGAATATACCCACTTATCCAAGCTGGCTCAGACAAAATTCTGTGCACACGCGGATATTATTATCATAATTTTTCAGGGTGTCAGAGCAGGGGTTTTAAATTTGTTTTCACCTAATTTTTTATGTATTTCTAATCTATGAAAAAAAAAACCCAAAACATTTTGTCTTGAGACAGAGCTTGGAGGGGTTTGACCCCCCCCCCTCCACTGGATCCGCACCTGCATTTTTTGATAGGTATTGTAAACAACGCCACGGGCCGGCCACAAGCCGGCCACGGGCTGTCCATGGGAGTAAATACACTAAAAATCATTTTATTTTTTGATCCGTGACATATAACCATGTAGGCCTATAATTTTGCCTTTCAGCATAGAGCAAGGAACAGGGCCCAATTTCATAGCGCTGCTTAACAGCCGACTTTGTGCTTACCGAGCCTCCATCTATTTCATAGGGACCGTTAAGCAGTAAGCACAGCAAGAGCACGCTTAACCCCAGAAGAAAACTTTGCTTAAATCAGTGACGTAACAATAGAAATCTCCATGTGCGCGCATCTGTTAGCATGAAATAGTGCTTAAGCAGCAGCATGATTTTCTGCTATGGTAAGCATAGACCCGTGAACGTGGCTTGTAAACTACGCCACGCTCTTGTACATGTTCGAACCAAGCGAAATCGTCCTTCCGTGACAAAGACTGAACATTGCCTTACCATGTGATAAATATTAACATATCAAGCTTTCTTGAACATGTTGAAATCTGCTTTTACGCCAAATCTGGCATTCAAACGAAATTCGAGGTAAAATCTGGCAAGATCTCGACGTCGAGGTAGAAGTCCTGCAACCTCCTCCTGATGCATGTGATTTACTACCTGGTAAATGCTGCGGATAATTTGGTATCGCACTGACGCTCCGGGCATTCCTTTTGTCTCCGGATCGTAAGTGCTATCCCAAATTATTAGCTGCGTTTATCACGTGGCCTCGTTATTGGCCAATCAGACGCCGCCTATCATATGCGCCACATGAAGCAGACGGGTAGCTCGGAGGGCTCCGATAATTTTGCACGCAAATGACCCTGGGTACTCGTCCAGGGTCATTTGTCAGGGTCACTTGTCAGGTTAAAATCTAATTTCTACACGTTCGTATGGGTCTTCATTGATGGCAAATTTCGTCAAAATGACACATCCTGAACACGCGGGAAGGCAAATTTAGATTTCTTGGTGAGTACTCAACATCCATACGAAATTATGTATGGCGGATCGATTTTGCTAGGTTCCAAAATACACAACAGCGTGGCGTTGTATACAACGCCACGTTCACGGGTCTATGTAAGCACAACCTTTTTTTGCTTACTGTTATAAGCAGTGCTATGAAATTGGGGCCAGGTTTTAGCTCCATGGATTCAGGATCTTTAAAAAAAAATAAAGCTTTTTCAAACCAAATGTGCTAGGCCTATATTTCTCTAATCTTTTTCTTGGAAAAAATGTTGCAACCCGACGCCATCACTTCCGCGATTGTGTATGAGTCTAGTAATAGTATGGAGAGTCAAGTATTTCCTGACAGTAACAACATTTGAAATGTTTCTCTTCTCAGTCCCAGATTCATGTCTCTTGAATGACCTTCAGTGTGCATGTTGAGATGATATCCTTGAGTCACCATAATTTACGCAGGTATTAACAGCTTGCAACGCGTATATCATATCCTCGTCTTTTTTTTAGGGGGTCTGACGATCATGACGATATAATTATGTGATGTAGGCCTATGTGTATATCGAATCGTGGCTATGGTAACAGGTCATCTCGTACCTTGGGCAACTCGTACCTTGGACAACTCGTACCTTCAACTCGACGTCATTATACCGAGTCGTACCTTGGACAACTCGTACCTTCGGTAAGTCGTACCTTCAGTTAAGACGACTCGTACCATCACGCGTAAGTCAAGTCGTACCGTCAATCAGGATAATGATCCGAGGCTGAATAAAGTGGACCGTAACTCATTGAAAGTGGACTGCTTATTAAAAAAAAGGTGAATCTCTTTTTGGTATGGGCTCTCTTTCCCCCCAAAAAGAGGAATTTATTTAGCGCGGAGCCGGCCGCGGCAGCTTACTGTGTGCGCGGCATGTACAGGCCCACGCGGCATCCGTGCAAAGTGACACGGTTCTTGCGCCGCGCTGACCGGTCAATATGGACGTCTGTGCACGGTGACATTGATGCAGTCTGCCGTTACGTTTAGAGACTTAGGCTTAGACTTTGAAAATATTATGGAACTGATGTTTTTATCCAAGATTCACGTCTTACCATCATTTTTGCAATGAATGACCATCATTGAGATGATATATATATATATATGAAGAACAAAGTGGCGTCACGTTGCAACATTTTTCCTATTATTGATCCCTATAATCATCTGAACTACTTTTTTTTTTCCCCGCAAAAATGATAAGACGTGAATCTTGGACTGACAAATATTTCCAATTTTGTTAGGAAATACTAATTTTCATCCCAAAACTATGTGCTAACCGCTAATTTTTTTTTTCAGATGATCTTGCGGGTTTCTGATGAACCATTGCGCTGCTCAAGAGACGATTGCTTGTCTGCTGTTCATCATTTCATTTCAACAAGTCGGACTATGACGAAACATCTGGCCAAACCCCCGCCCAATTTGTAAATGTTTCGAATAAACCAGTTGATGAATAAACCAACTGTGATTTTTTTTTTTACATTTTCGACTTTCAGACTTATAGCTAGGAAAGGACTGAATCATTTAAAAGTACTGACTGCTCTTGTATACTTTGGTTATTAGACTTCACAAGAAAACGCAGAAATTACTTTATTTAGACAAATTAAATGTTTAAATTTGCTTTCTAATATTTTGTCGGTTGGTTTGTCTAATATTTTGTCGGTTGGAAACAGGATGTTACGGTGGTTAGGCTGTATTGCATAATTAAACCACACCAAATCCGCATCTGAAGTTTCTCCACTGTAAAATTCAATCTATCTTAACTTATCCATTAAAAACAGAATGGCACTGCCGCGCGCGCCGCGCAGCTCGCAGGCCGGCCGCTTCCGAGTCACCGGCATCGGTACCGCGCACGACCGACCGCTGCTCACGCCCTCGGAGGCCGGCCCACCAGGCCCAATGCGGAAAATCATGCTGCCTGGCAAAGCCATTAGATCTTGAATGTGGTTCTGTGAGATAGAAATTAACTTTGACTTGAAAAGAATCATATCGTTTCGGAGTCAAGGAACCACACTCTAAGTCACGCACGTATCTACAGTGTACTCTACTTTTTATTCTGATGGTACGAGTCGTCTTAATTGAAGGTACGAGTTGTCCAAGGTACGAGTTATCCAAGGTACGAGATGTCCAAGGTACGAGTTGTCCAAGGTACGAGTTGTCCAAGGTACGAGTCGCCCAAGGTACGAGTTGACTCGAAAGCGTGGCTATATAACCACGTTCACGGGTGTAGTACAACTTAAAGACTAACATTTTGAATTACTGGCAAACAAAAACACTGCACTAACCCGTAGACCAGTCATGCCAGTTTTCTTTTGGACGTTTGCGCCGCCATGTTCCGTCGCCAGGGAACTGTGATGGCTTTATTCAAACAACAGAGGGCGCTATTTGTGAGGTATTCTGCAAAATGAGACGGTGTCATATGAAAATCGGACTCGTATGAAAATCGGACTCTTTTTCCCTTTTATTGGTTAAACCCTCCACGTGACCGATCCCTCTCCTAATTATCTATGCATGAGCATGCGCAATACCACCAATGAGTCCGTATTTCATAAAACCTAAATTCATGCTACACCTGAACTGGGCACAGGCCAAACTGGAGAAAATGCAACAAAACGAATATGATGGATTTTTTTTCAATTTCCAGATTCACTGATATTTGTAATCTTTGATATGTCAACAACACGTATTTTCAAAATAGTAAATAATGAAAGGTTTGCGGAAACACCATGTGCGAATAATTTCTCAACTGAGAATGGTGGTTCAACTCGATGATCCGGTCAGTGTGCTGTGACCGAAAGCCTCAAATCTTACTTAAAGAAATAGTACAAAAATTGTGGAATAAAAGCGTTTTTAAGGAGAAACAATTGACATCTTTCATTTTCACAACTACAAAGCTCGAAACTTTTAAGGCCTCTTTTGCAGTATTAACTTTTTTGACATGTCGATAAATGTGAACTTTAAACAGACATAAAATTGTCAACAGAAAGTCCGATTGAAGTGCAACAAAAAGTATTGCAAGGAGAATTTTATTTTCTTTCCTAATACCTGAAAACCCTCATTTCGACCTCTGCCCAGCTCTGTCTCATTTTGCCAGAATGCCTCACATTTGAGAGTGTACTCTACGTCACGGTTTTTCCACAAGCATAAATTTCCCCCACCCAACCTGGTCCCCCAAGGTTGCAGACCAGTAAATAAATTTCCGTAGACCCCAATGATTAATGCCCCACTTCAGAAATCATGATACTCACAACTCTCTGTGGTGTTCAAGACGAACATCAAATTAAAGCTTATTTCATCATCTTTCACAGTCTGTTCAATTTTCCGGGGGGGGGGTTAACCATTGCATTGGCTTTTGGGAGAAAATGCCATTCAAAGATGATCACCCCTAAAAGCAGTCCTGAAGCCCATCGCCAATTTGAAAATAGACGCACCTACGCTCCATTGCAAAATAGTGCGAATGTAGGGTCTCATCATCATCCACACTTCACCAGAACACTAGCCTTTAGTCAAGTCCCCCGCGACTATACCGGACCATCCGGACACGTAACGCACCCCGGATGCTGGCACGTAAAAAGACTAGCACGAGCGGCGGAGCCGCTGCCCGCGGAACTAATCACTTATTCATTTATTCACGTAATATAAATCAAGCAATATAAACCAATTATCTAACGGTGGTTTGCGGTTACCAGCAACAGCACAGCACGCGCGCCATCTGTCTTGCGCACAACGACGGTTCTGCATTTTCATTGGTCAATTCACAACGGGTAATGCATAATGCATGTCTACCAAATCGGTAGACAAAATGTAACGAAAAACATAAGCGTTCTCCGCTCGTGCTAGTCTTTTTACGAGTCAGCATCCGGGTGCGTCACGTGTCCGGGTAGGCACGTGGGACTTGACTAAAGGCTACCAGAACACAAGCTCACAGTCCTCTCCACGGCTTATTCCAACCTTTTTTCCAAATCATCAAGTTTATGGCCTTAAAAATGCTGTATTGAAGAATTTGGCCGGCGTAGGCAATTTCGGACCGATTTACTGGCCTGCACATATAATACTAGTGTTCGAGCAGTGTTGTGTAACGATGAGTATGTTTAGCAAACGTATAGGCTTAATGATGAATACAAACGCCCCGCCGAAAGCGTGGAATACAACACGCGATAGGGGCGGATCCAGGCCTTTTTTGGGGGAGGTTCATCAGCAAAACTTCCTGAATTGTAGACACGTTTCTTTTTCGATTTCTCCGCATTCCCCCAAGCCAATCATTTCTAACTGAAAGTATCGATAAAATAAGGCCTATAGGTATAGTTCAAGCCTTACCTTTTCTTTTTTTCGAGTAGGGGGGCCTACTTCTATTGGAGTAAGAGTACTTTGATGATCGAGTATAATTTCGACATGTCGAGTACGAGTACTTTGACATTCGAGTACGAGTACTACAACAATGTTACAACTATGCTCAGACATTTTTATAAATTAAATGCTCTTTCTAAATTTGAAGATTCACAATTACTTATCATTACCCCCTTGTACTTGTAAACACTGTTTCTGAGGTTTTCATCCCGATGTGAACCTGAAGAATAGTCAAACATAATGCATGCCCACCATGAACGTTAATGTTATTTTTATCTGGTATTAACATTATACATCATTTATTCATGGCTACAGCTATCCATTGATTTAGAAAATATAAGAAAATTACGTAATTCTACTAAGAGTAATAGGTGTATATCTACACTATTTCTACGAGGGTCGTCCATAAAACCATCACCTCATTCTTTTATTACTTTCTAAATTCCAAAGAGTGAAAATTCACTCCATTAATTCGAGTAAAGATTTACCCCCACAGTCGGAAACTAGGGACTAGACGTTTTAGAGTGAAATTCCTTCAATCGAAACGATCGAGGTTTTACTCGAGCTTCGACTGAAGTGGTTCTGTTTTCAGACTTTTTTCAATCTAAAATGAGAGTGATTTTCATTCTTAAACGTCAAGTCCCTAATTTCACTCTTTGGAATTTAGAGAGTATACTCATCATATATTTGCGAATATTAATGACTATCAAATAAAAGCTACAACCTGCTATTTTTAATTCTGCTGCTCTGATAACTTCTATTTCTATAATTATACGAGAAACGAGGTTAACATTTTTAAATACCACATTATACGATTACTTCTTTATCAACAGCGATTTCAAAAATTACAGCTCTATCACTTCAATGTTTATTGTAATGTTTTCCTGGCTATGGTAATTTTATGAACGTTTCTCATGCAACTTCACCGATTCTGGTATTCGAATTCGTGCGGCATAATCGATTTAGTGCACTTTCAATATTTAATTTCGTCCTTTATCATACAATTTCAATTTTAGTTGACACACATATTCGTCAAGGAGTAGTCGATTTCGTCTCGTCTATGCTGAACCGTGTAATTCAGTAAATAAAAAAACACAGGTGAGAGACTATTGCACTGGCCGTTTTGCAAAAAGTCTTGCATGAAAGTCTTGCATGAAGTTAGGGGGTTCGTTTGTGGTCAATTTATTGAGGGGGAGGGGGCCACTGACCGACAGACACCCAAGTGACTTGTAGCAGCTCTGTTGCCAGAGCTAAGAATTCATATTCTGCCATACAAGTGTGTTTGATAACACCAACGAACGAATGCGCAAGATTGTGCTGGAGGACACAAGGGAAATGCTTAAGCACTACCAGACTAATATACTTGACATTAGTTTATAAGTGATTGATATAAGACGCATTCGATCTCTGAATGCTGGAATTCGGTGAAAGCTGCGAGGAAGTCAATCTTTGTTGACGAATTCTTGACCAAGCGCTTAATTCGGGCGATTCACAATTCAGTGCGCCACCAATTAAGATCTTGCCATGGAGAGTTCATTTTTCCCAGTGCATTGTGGGAGATGGTCGACAAATTCGCAGCGCGGAACATTTGGAATTGTTCGTTTTTCCAGTCAGTAGTTCTCGTAAGCGTACGATTCAAGTTTATGTTTGCCCTTTTCTTTTCTTTTTATCAATATGGTGATTTTGGTAAGGCGGCAGAACGCTATGCCCCAATCTATAACAAATTAGCCCAAGTCGTCTACTGACACTCATTCAAATGGGCCATGTTTTGTCGACCGTAAACTGACTTGAAAAATTGACTGGCAATGGCAAACTCTTGATGGCGCACTGCATTGTAAAATCGCCCGAATTGACCGAACTTTGAAACTGAATGATAAATGACTAAATTTGAATAGAGAAGTTTTTTTTCAAGTAACCGGGAAGACCTATATACTGACACCCGAAACAAACTATTTATAGTGTTTACTTCCGCCATATCTAACGGAACCACTTATATGCCTGTCACTACGTCAAATTAACAACCTTCGTATTATTGAGGACAGACATTGCCTCCACTTTCAAGGAAATGTCCTCATTTTATGGAAAGTTTTACATTCAAAGGAATTTCTAAGGAAATGACAAAAGAAATATGGGAAATGTTGAGGAAATCCCCCAAATCTAAAGAAATTCTAAGGATATTATTTAACTCTGAGCAAATTCCACAATATTATTTGTTTTTATATTATTTGTTTTTATTGAAAATCACGTCAGATATAGGACGACTTCAAACAAGACCAGTAAAATAAATCTTGCTGCGCGTGCGCACAAATTGCTTTCTTCAAAAGGGACGGGATATTTTGAACATTGTACTGACCTCTGCTTACCCATAGCATTAAGGAACGTATAGTCTATATTTTTTCGGGGGTTTAAAAAACTAAGAAAATCGGGGGAAAAGTATAGGATATTTGGTTGTCAGGATCAGACAATTTTCATTTGTGGAAGCGCTGGGGGGGGGGGGGGGGGATGTAACGTTCAGTCTTCGCTTGTACCCCCGCCCTGCGCTGGGACACGCTGATGAGCTTCACATCATCTTGTGAAGTGGGGATGGCATTCTGGGTAATTTATCATGACCTATGTATAAAGCATCTGTCTGCAGATGTTTAAGACCGCAGTTAGCCAATGCGCGCAAATGCTATCCGAAAACTTTCTCATAGAAATGCACACATTCCACATCGGATGTGATTTGACCCTTCATGAATTCGAAACGGAGCCTGAGCAAGTGACGGGAATTGGAAATTGACAAAACAGACACGTTTTACAGATTTTCATACATAAATACGCTTTTCAAGGAGAAAAATAAACATTTATGATTGGGAATAAAAGAGTGATGACTCAATCTTAACGGGCGTTTCATAAACCTTGCAGGGTCGTGGCCGTGATGACTTGCAGGTCGTAATGTTACGCAAAATCTATCAATCAGAGCGTAAATTCATCAGCCTGTCCCAGCGTCCTGTTTGCAGGGCGGGGTGGGGGGGGGGGGGGGGGGGAGGGGTACGAGCGAACG